TTGCCTCAATAAAAATTTTGAGGCAACATATTGCCAAAATCATTCTGAATTTGATTGATATACATGTAGATGGTATTTGACAAAAAAAATTGCCATAAACTTTGCCATATTCTGCCTAGAAACAAAGAATCCATCAAATTGTTGACTGCTCATGTACACACCACAATTACATATAGAAATACTGCCTGTACAGGAAGGCTTTAGGGGACAAAAATGTGGAGAAACATGTTTTCAAAAGGAATATCAACTCTTTTGTGTATGTATATTGATGAAGGTGGAAGATTTTCCAGAATCAATTCTGAGGTATAGTACAAAAATAGTATTTTTTGTCCGTTTTTTTTTTAAGCCTCAATAACTCAGTCAATTTATGTCACAAAGGTTAATAAACTATATATTCTTGGTGGGGAGATACGGGAGCAGGTTTATACAGGTTTATGATGCTGTATGACATCATCTCAATTTTGGTGGGATGACATATTTTGCTGGTAACTGACCCAAAACATCTTGATAGCAGATGAATGTTATGCTGAAAACAAATTGAATTTTTGTTGAAAACATTTTGGAGACATCAGATGTACTGGCCTGCCAGTGACCAGTAGTTGGGGGCTGTGAATGGAAAGGAAGAATGTCATTTATTGAAGAGAGGCGTGAAGATGTGTGGTGATATGGAAAGGATGACCAAGCTTGATGGAGGAAGATGATGATACAGATATTTGTCTTAGATATAGCTTCAAGGCTGTATATGGACAAATATCTGACAATTGACATATTGTAATGATCTCTGGTCAGATATTGTTGTCAAACAGCTTGTTTGTTTAGTAAAAATCATATACTCTATCTACCAAGATAGGATATCTGGAATAGAGCCACTGACTTTGGTGTTGTTTCTAACCAGATACAGTTTTTCTAAGACATCCAATTGAGCCCTTAGCTAAAATAGACTTTAATGAAACTGATTATATTCCAAAAAAAATTGAATCTATTCACAATAAATACATCTAGCTCTTCTACCAAAAAATTGAAAACTTCATCTCATTTCAAATCCATCAGTGTCTGATCTTCAATCCGGAGTTGCATGAAGCATTGATCCATCATATAGAGTTCCATGATAAGTTTCTTCACACAAGACTCTCAGTTCAATCTCCTTAGATTTACAAAACACATCTATTGGAAACAATTGAAGATCGACCAATGAATCAAGTGTGATACTTGAATGATGTGTATAAAAAGATAAGACCTTCAGTTTAGGAAAGATATTAGCCATGATCGATTCGGAAAATTTCGTTTGTTTATCTTTTCCAAATCGTACAAGACTAAGATGAGAAAGGTTTTTACAATTTGAAAAGCATTGTAAAGAATCGAATTTGTAAGATGATCTGATCGTTAGATGAGTTAAATCCGCCAAGTTAAATTGATGGAATTCTTGAATAGGTTTCCAATCATCAATAAATCTAATGTCTAAATAAGTCAGATCAGGTGCCCAAGCATTCACAAACAAAGGTGTTTTTGATAAACAAAGGTTTTCACAATCTTCAATGATCAGTCGAACTAATTCAGGAGGTCCTTCTTCACAATAGATTGGACTGTAGCTAATTTCCATTCTTCTGAGTGTAAGTTCTTTGAGATTTTCCATCTCGGCAAAACAATTGAGAAGTTCACCTTCGTCTTCGAATTTGCCCACTGAAAGATGACTAAGTTCGAGGGTTTCAAGGAGGGTGAGACGCATGAGAGGTTCGAGAATGCACTCTCCATAGATGTTGGACCACTCAGCACCTTGGATCTTCAGATGTTGAAGATGCTCGAGATCCGAAAACAATGGTTTAAGATTGGAACCCATGGTTAGCTGTTCGTCCCAGTCGTTATCTGCATACCCATTACTTGGAGCTCTGAGATGAAGTGTGTTGATGTTTTCACAATAAGAAAGAACTTTGACAAGGTTCTCAGGACAAAGACCAAACCGAGTACGAATCGCAGCGTTCGGGTAAGAGTTACGCATCCCTAGATCATCGTAAACGGCTAGATTATCAGAATGAAGTTTATCGACTTCCCAATACTCATTGTCGTCTTGAATAAACTTAATAGGTTTGGTTCGAAGTGAATAGTGATGTGAATCTTTGTTTCGGAGAAAGCGTTTGATAGAAAGCGGTTTTCGAGTTTTCTTTAGCCATTCTCTTCTTAATGAAACATCTAATACTTTAACATGACATCCATGTTTCGGTAACATTTCACTATTCCAGAACGACATTGGACTAGACATCAGAGAGGGAAAGCTGAGAGACTAGCATATAAGAATGAAAGAAATTCAGCATCATATTGTAATGAGAAGTACACTATCATCACTGAAGGAACTATCTCACCTTCCAAATGATCGGTCTACAAATACAATAAATCTTACGATTCAGCATTGAAAACGCTTGAAAATCAGTCATGATAGGTGATTCAGGTTGATGTTCATAGAGCCATAATCTAGAACGTTTTCCCGAGAATTGAGTAGAACCTTGATGAATCTTTTGACGTTGGTTTTCAAGATAAGTACTAGGTTGTTGAATTAAATATCCTATAATCTCAAGAAGAAGTTCGTCTGGTAATCGAGATAATCGATCAGGTTGAGTTTCTATTGATCTTTTCTTGGTTCGAGTCACTCGTTTTTTGGCTTTCTTTGAGGGAGTCTTCATTTTTATCAATCTTGATGGTTCAAGATTGTGTGTATGAAAGCGATGCTGAAGTTTGAATGAGTTGAATATGAGAAATAAATTTCTCAAACTGAAAACACACTCTCAGAAAACCCCCGACCCGAAAGCCGGTTCTCCTCTGTTTCTCTTATAAACGGGCAGGGTGTTCTTGTAATGAATTGAATGTCCATTCCTTGATAAAGCCAATCAAAACCAGGATATCTTGTGGTTCAGAATCGAGTTCTCTGTAATACACCAGACCTCCAGTCAGGGCCAAGTTTGTGGTTTCTATTTTGTATGTTCCACAAGCAAGGATGTCATCAGCTTTGAAGAGTAATTGGTGTGTACAACACCTTTTCACCATCTAAGTTTAACCTGAGACTCGAGAAGAGGCATCGGTATCTCTCCGAAAGGTAATCACTGCGGCAGCACAAGTGAGAGTTCAAGTATGCTCAATCTTTCGGGGACAGGGCAACTTATCATTTCTTTGTGAGAGTTTTAAGCGTATCTTTTGAAGATAATCTTGGATGATTGGCATGTCATTGATGATGATCAGATATCTAGAACATACAACATAGATAGATACAAACAAAGTTGAAGAAAGGGTGAAGTTATAAAGTTAATCTGATTCCTAATTCTGATTCTGATTGTAAAATGAAAATGACAATGAAAGGGATGATGAATCATAAAGCAAGGGATAATCCAAATCAGTAATCAACCTTTTAACATTTCATTATCACTTCAAGTTCCATTCTTCTCTGTTGACTTCCTTTTTCTTCTAAAATCAATTCACAATCCAATTCACAATCAACTTGAAACATGGGGGCTTGGCGCGATCTGATACAGAGTACCTCACCCATCACTCCATCACATTCACATTCACATTCATCAACTAATCATCCAATCCACAATCAAAGACTAAGAAACCCATTACACGCACTAAGTTCAAAACCAATTCGATCATTACTATCCTTCTTATTCATCATCGCCATCATCTCATCATTTTCACTAATCATCAAACCCACAAACTTATGGACAAAAACCAATGCACTCATCAAAACAAGAACCAAACCGATCTGGATCTACTTAACACCATCATCAAAACTCAAAGACAGATGGGATACAAAAGATGATCAACTTCATGGAATCGAACCTGAATTTTCAATAGATCCGATCAATGGTCTTAGATATCCTCCTGATATAAACCCTTTAAAGATGAACACCTTCAAACGATCTAATGCTACTTTTGTTAGTTTGGTTAGGAATGAAGAATTGGTTTCGATGATGGCTAGTATGAGAGGTGTAGAAGATCGAGTGAATAGGAAACTAGGTGTAAGTCAAACCTCAATCCACTAAACAAAAAAACATCTTGATCTTGGTACTTGAAAAACTAATATTTTCTTATCATTCAAATTTAAAGTATCCATGGGTGTTTTTGAATGAAAAACCTTTTGAAGAGAATTTCAAAACCCAAATCTCTTCAATGACTCGTTCTAAAGTTTTATTTCGGTTTGATTCCAAAAGACCATTGGAGTTATCCATCTTTACATTGATCAAACTAAAGCCTCTGAAAAACGAAAAGAAATGGAATCCAATAAGATCATTAATGGTGTTAGTGAATCTTATCGACATATGGTGTCGTTATCAATCTGGGTAGGTACTTCCGAGACAATCCAAAGTTCTTCTTCAAACTTGATGATCTGATGTTAATGTTTCGGGATCAATAGTTTCTTCTTTCGTCATCCATTAATGATGCAATTTGATTATTATTGGAGAGTTGAACCTGGAGGTAAGTTCATTCATCACTTGATCCTCACCAAATCCAAATGAATCTAAACAACGTATTAATTGCTTTTACAGTCGAATATTATTGTGATGTAGATTACGATCCATTCTTATTTGTAAGACTATCCCGAATTTCACTCCCATCAAACCTTCAACTAACTCACGAATTTTTCTCTTTGCAATCCAATCTGAAACACCAGATGCAAGAAAACAAAAAACAATATGGATTTACAATTACACTTTATGAATACAAAGCGACGATCGAAAGTTTATGGTCAACCACCCAATCCTTCATCAAACTCAATCCTCAATACCTGCACCCCAACAGTGCCCTGAATTTCATAATAGACGATCTATCCCAAGGAATTAATGGAACCTATAACCTATGTCATTTCTGGTCAAACTTTGAAATCGGTAACATGAACTTTTGGCGTTCAAAAGCCTATACCTCCTACTTTAATTATCTAGACCAACACGGAGGATTTTTTTATGAAAGATGGGGAGATGCACCTGTTCATTCACTTGCAGCTGCTTTATTCTTACCTTTTGAAAGTCTTCATCAGTTTGATGATATTGCTTATCGGCATCCTCCTTTTATGCATTGTCCTAATGATTTAGATAGGTTTCATCTTAATGGAAAGTGTTTTTGTGATCCGAATTTGAGTTTTGATAGAGATGGTTATAGTTGTATGAAACAATGGTGGAGGGTTGGGTCAGTGATTTTTTTTGCTTTTTCGTGATTTTTGGTTGGGTAATCTGGATGCTGATCTTGGGACTTTTCTTGGGAATAGAGGTGAACCTAAATGAAACTTTTTCCAACACTTGAAGAAATAGAAAAACTAAATCATAAAGGAATAATATAAACAAAACAAATTGTCATTTTTTTCAAAGATTCTTTTTTTCACTATTTTATTAATTGATTTTTGTAGAATTCTCCCCTCTTCCCGAAAAAACTGTGTGATTTGATATGATTGTTGATCTGTATGTTGTGTATCCTTAGTGAAGTTAAATGCTTAATATTATATAAACTTATTTATGATTGAAGTGATACCTATTCTCAAAGTAAGTTCAATTCTTTGATGGATCCTTGGGTTGGGTTTAATTTATCATTGAGGGTTTGGTTCAGGTCTTGATTTTTTGGGGAGTTGGAAATTTGATGGATGAGTTTATTTAAGTAATTTTCTTTGATTGATGAATGTCTTTTTTGGAATGATGTAAAAACTAAATATCATCTCAAAAACCCTTTCAATTTTGGGAATGGTTTTCTACAACTCTTATGATTTTTTTTGGTTTACATAAATCATTATTAATTTCTTCAGAATCTTTAATGGAATTGAGTTTCAATAATTACCTGAAGTTTTACTCGAGATATTGGTCAACTGGACATCATACATAACTCAATTGCTCACTACAATATATGAAGATCATTTCTATTCACAAGTTAAACTTTATTGATGGTTCCAAGTTTGGTGTTCAAGTTTGGTCAGAGTGGTATCCTTTCAAGGTTTTAGAAGGGTTAAGATGAATCATGAAAGCAGGCAAAATGATCATGATCAATTGGACAAGGTTGTGCAGGTGAGGCTGGATTCCATATGTCAAGATACACATGTGTAGCATACCCGGGTACACCACGGGGGTATCTCGACCGTCAACCGCCGGGCGCGCCCGGCCGCCATAGGCCGGGCCATCCTACCGCAGTGAGTGGCGGTCATTTGCAGGTCAGAGTGGGAACACCGTCAATTCGCCCAACTGGCGGTTCAAAGAGGGCCATAGAGTCGGAATTTAAGTGTTGTATAAGCGTCCGCGTGCAGCCTTGCGGCGGTCTAGAGGGTTCAAATGGCCAGTAGACCATCACTTGACCTTGCTTATTGGATCAGATTCCAGCCATTTGGGCAAAATAAGCTCAGCAATTGCGGCGCGTTTGGGAATTATGAATAAGATTCAAACGGACTTATGACAGTGGAGCGATAGGCATGAAAGCCTGTACATTTCGCACGAGAGGATTACAGACATTCTGGGGCGGAAGGGCCTATTGAAGATGTTATCTAAGATGCCAGATATCATCTTTGTACAACTTTGATGGCTCCACAAGAGAAAAGAAAGAACAAGGAAACTAAAGTGGCAAGAATATGCATTTGCCAAAAGGTGACGTGGTTTAGTCAGTTAGAACCATAGATCCCCCTGCTGTTTCCAAGCGTTCCATTTCCTCTTGGATCTCCTCTTCCGAAGGTAAATCGAAGGTGACCTTTGGGTCAACATCAACAAAAAAACCCTCGCCATCAAAGGTTGCGCGATCGGTTTCATAAATAAGCTTGTAAAACCTGTTGGGCCAAAAAAAGGTTTAGTGATGAACTATATATATAAAACAGAATGATTTATAGACTTACGCGGAAGTATATAAGGTACCCTGCACACTCAATTTATGGAGCTGCCTATCAACTCGGCTCCAAATATTCCCTCCGCCACCCCCATTTCGAAGCAATTGGAAAATGCGAATGGCCTCACGTCGCTGTGAGTTCAATGATTTGATTAGTCAACAAGCGATCTACATGGATGCCACCACAAGGAGGCGCACTTACAATGTAGGCAATTCGGATGCGGTGAGCCACAGAGGTAGTCGGCCAATAGGCCATGAAGTCCCCCGCGACCTTGACCTCACCGCACTGGGATGCAATCTAACGGAGTTATACAAAGACCCAAAAAACAGGAAAAAAGAAAGGTCACCCAGAAAGTTTGACCGTGCCACGGTGAATTTGACCGCACATGAGGATCAGAGAGAGAGACCTAACTTACATGATGGAGGAGGCGTTTGAGGCAGGGAACGGTTGACTCAGGATTGTTCTTGATGTTATGTAAAACCTATTTCAAGTATGGCTCAGTAAGGTGTATGAGCCCAAGATGCGCCAGAGGGAAAGTTGTCTGACCAAGATATGGAGACGCTCTTGTGCGTGTTTCCCGGCAGTTTTCACCAAAGTGTTGTACTTTTGAGTCCCGGCAACGCTCTGGACACCATTGACAACCGGAGGCAGTTGACCAGTAGCCCAATCGCCGGGGATATTTCTAATTCGTTGCTACAACAGAAAAAAAAAACACGGCGGTTACGAAACAAATGGCGAAAAAATTGACCTTGGGAACGACATTGTACCTTGATGATGTTATATAATGAGTTTGCCATAATGTCACCAGCTGGAGTTTCACGAGCGGTATAAGCGGCGATGTTTGGTTGGGCCACCGAATCGTATGCAAAACCATACACCCTGTCCTAATAACGTGATAATTTTTCGATTTGGTCAGAAATAATTAAAGAGAGATGAAGAAAAAATAAAGAAGACACAAAATTACAGTCAGCAAGAACTAACTTTAAGGGCTGGTGTGAAGTCCCAGGGTTGGATGGCAGCCGGTTGAGCGACAGGCGCCGCCGCGGCCGCGCCAGGAGCTTGAGGTTGCCCTTCCACAGTCTCAATGACTTGGTCCAATTTGTTAGACAAAGTCAACAGCTGAGCCTCAATTTGTTCAGCTACCGCATTGAGATCTTCGTCCAACTTGTGAGACAAAGTAGCTATGTCTTCATCGGACTTGACAGTGTCTTGTTGGAGGTTGTCGGAGAGGACCAAAAACTCCTTGACCATCGTGGCATTCAAGCTGGTGATCGCCGCCATGATCTGATTTCCGTCAATCACATTAGTATCAGGCTCGTTGGTCTGGATGCGGCAAAATTAACAAAAGAACAAGTGACCGATTGGTCAGTTCTGACAGTTCTGAAATTGGGAAACAGAGAAGACAAGACTGACATCGTCATTGGTGGCGGAGGCTGACCCGGAACCTCGAACGCTGCGAGCGAGTGCTCGGTTGGCAGAGGTCGCGCCGATGGGGTTTCCTAAAGATATCCGTTGGGGGTTAGCCGCCAGTAATGGTGTGAGAGGATAAAACGAAAGAAGAGCGAGTTGAGGCTTACTGACGCCCCTTGGGGTCGTTAAAGAGTACGGTTGAGCACGGTTATTGAGAGGTTGAGAAGACATGTTTGAGAAACAACGAGAGAAACAACGATGAATCTATTCAAAGTGGCTTAAAGACGAGTTTGAAATGGCTTTTGAAAAGTGGAGAGTGACTTCACTGCAATGAATTGAGATGCATGAGCAGTGAGATCATGCGAGAGAGACAGATTTTATCTCAGGGGACACGCGCGTGTTGAAGGTCTCTTCGAAGCAAGGGGGTGAAGCCGCCATCTGTGATTGGTCAGTCCTCGCATTCTTCACGAAAGAGCGCACAGGAGTATTCGCGTCGCCATAGATTTCCCGTTTAGGAAAACGCTTGAGGCACGCGGTGTAAAGCGGTAACTGCCCAAGCTGCCCAATTTTGGGCAGTGACCGCTTTATCACTGTCATGAACTTGCAAAAATGGACTTTGCAAACATGCACACCATGCACACTCGAAATTTTTTGAAAGAGGCATGGTAATCTGGGTTTTATTTCACAAATGTCACAAAGAATCAGAGAATATATTTTCAAATCAAACACAAGGTTACTCCATTTCTTTTACACCTGGAGTCACCAAGAGCGCCTCAATCCGAGTAGTCAGAGTCATCCAGTGCTGCTTCTTCTTCATTCAATTCTGTTTGTTTACCCTTAGCCTTTGTTGTTTGCCTCTTCTTTCGAGGTTTGACCGGAACAGATAGCCAAACTTTGATTCCTGCTTGAATGGCGGCCAACCATTCAGCCGGCGAAAACGTGCGACTCGGAACTCGCGCCACTGATCAATGCATTTCTGCTGAGTAGTGGCCCGCACTGTTCACAATGAAGTAGTCCGTTTCTTTATGCACTATGGTGCTGATCCTTGCCGACGTTTCCCTCCGTTCAAGGCGTTTCTTGGCACCATCCTGGACTTTGCATTTGGATTGGTTGCAATTATGTTGCACGTTAACAAGGCAGAACACATCCTGAAAGGACCATCAGTACTGAATAAATAAAGTAGCAGAGTTATTGCGAAGGAGAGATAATATGATCAACTTACCGTCACTTTGTACCACTTCTTTTTTACGGTCCTTAATATTTCACGCAGCCCGTAAAAAGGGGATATGGGCCCTTCACGCGTTTCCTGAAGGAGCATGACCGCTTTGTGAGCTCCTCCTCCAGCGGGCTTCCAGATACCATCCACTTGATACACCTGGTTGTCGTGTTTAAGCTGGAAAGATGACGTGAGCATTTTGTCTACACCAGGCGGGAGTTTAACAAACTCACCTTCACGAAGTCGCACATTTCCACTGTCTGATTGTTGCACAAATCAACACTCTGATGTTGAATCCAGTCACACTCTGGTGCTTCATTCAGAAGGAATGCAGGAATTTCTGTAGCTCCCTCGACTCGCGCTGACAGAGACAGAAGAAAAAGTCATATTAGCGTTGGCGCCGCTGAATATCACTCAAAAAGAATTGCGTACAGCCAATGGCAAGTAGCCCAGTTCGATTTGCTTTGGGATCCAGCCCCATAGCCTTGCGGAGGTCAGGCATCCTTTGCAGCAGTCCTACGACTTCAGGTCCAGCTGTGCAGCGTCCATCCAATTCCTTATCAAAGAACGTATTCCCAGATAGAAGGCCCCGCATGAGTTGATAATTATTGAACGTGTTTGCGATGTCACGCCCAGGCGCCTGGCGATTGGAATGAACAGAAGCGGCTCGCAACACCCCGTTATAACATTCGAACTTTTGCGTGGTGAATAAGCTCGCCGGTCCAAACCGCTCAATCAAGTCCTTCATGTGGCAGAGCATGTGGAATTTGGGTTTGTTAACCCATTGCGCCGTAGTCTGCATCAGTGCATGGAAAAACATTAAGATGTTTGCCTCCATCTCTCGCAGATAAGTTTCCAAGTCAGAACTTTCGTTCTGAAAGACAAAGGATCCTAGAATACACAGGCGGATCCATAAGTATCGCTTGTTGTGGTCTGGAATGAGATCGAGTAATACAAAAGGGGCCGCTTGAAGGATGGTCTGAAAGTCCTTCCCAACTAAGCTCTGATAGTGAATAATGAGAGTATGAGGTTGTATTTTCGCCATATTCAGGCCTTTCCTGTTGAAACTGCGCCACCTAGCCGACAATTCGCGGTAGCGATTAGAACCGGGTTTGATTGGCCCAAGTCCCTTCATCGTGTCGCGAAAAAGATATTTGGCAATGCCAAGGAGCACGATGTGCAGAGTTTCTACGGGGGTGTCTTGGTGACCGTTAAACCCTGTGAAGAAGAACTGTTGGACTCTTGCCGCGCAAAGGGAAAATGCGAAAAAAAAGACCAACGTACCTCTCAGCCGCAACATAGGGTTAAACAAACGGTCTCCCATGTCTCGATTCAAGTCATCGCAAAGATCGCGTACATTAAAAGCCTCAGGTGAATCATGAGCCAGGTGAACCTTTTGGAGGAAGTAGTCCAAGATTGAGTCGCGGAACCCGTACTTCCGTGCTTCCGCTTCAACTGATGTTTTGCTGTGAGGCCTTTGGGCCATTTGCCATAATTCGTGAGCCCTCGCGCGGGTGACATCCCAGTCGCGTTTGGGCAAAGAGAACTGGAATAGAAGAAGGAACAATCGAGCAACATGATAAACAAAAGCAAGTGACAGAATGGTGAGGGACACGGTCACCAAGCGGACACGAACCTGTTCACCGTCTAAATCGACCCCAATAAAGTCGGAAACATACTGCTCGTTCTTTTTGTCACTCATTTGCATCACTTGTAAATCACAAATGCGACAGGGGGTCAAAGTGTTGGCAGGGTTTGTGGTGTTACTAATTTCCGCATGCATGGGGCCATCCCCCAGGTGGAATAAAACCACCACCATCGCGAGGACCTCGGTGCCGGTGGCGTGGTCGTATGCGGTGAATCCGTGGGTACTGTGTTCGCTGGAATTACAGAACCGGTTAATAAGAGTCGGCTGCATCAGGCTGATGAAGACAAAATAACCTAACTTGATGTCATCAACGACCTCATCAAGTAATTCCAGTGCCGAAGCGCAATTCGAGGTGGCGAGGAAATGTATATTGTATTCCTCATTGGTCATATGAGGAGGAAGGCCAGCGAGTGTAAAGAAGACACTCATGTGCTTGTTCCAGGATTTAGAGACATTCCCGGATGTATCGTCAGAATACAAGGTAATTGGGATGTGCTTGATTACCCGCCCTTTTGCGCGTAGGCGCCAAGGGTTGAGGAGGTTAAATTGCTGCAAGCCGGCTGGGGTTTCCTCTGGGGTAAAGAATAACATCAGTTATATTGACGTCGAAATCAATATCATTGTGAGTGTCAAATAAGAAAGACGGACGATGTATATGTTCAGAAAGAGTTAATCCGTGGTTATGTAAAGTGATATCGGCGGATTGTTTCCAAAACTCCTTGACGTCGATGGTTTCAAAGAGGTTGGAGTCAAAAGATGGTTCGGCTGGGATAACTAATGAAAGGGATTGGCCGTCGTGATCGTTTTGAACAGTCGTGGGGAGGCATTTCGCCATTGTACTCCCGTTTTGCTGGAAAAAGAATGCTGGGACAATAACCTGCCGAGAAAATAGTTGTACAGGCTCGTATATGAACCAGTGCTTTCCCCGGGAGACCACCATTTGCACACGCAGGTCTTTGCTGAAGCATTCGCGCCACTTTTGCGACTGTGATAACCTGTTGATTGGCTCGGTCGTCGGCAATTCAGGAAGACAAACCAAATGAGGGCTGACCAAAGGGTTCGCAAGTTCCTGTAATATATAAAACATATTAGCCAACTATTCATATATGACCACTATGAAAAAGTGCCCACGTTGCTAATTATGGTCTGCACTTTTAAGCCAAAAAGTGGCTTCCCGTGCGGGCTTGTCCTTTCAGAGACCTGAAGCCCAAGGTTCTTCTTGAGTCGCTTACTTAACGCACGTAACGCACCCCACTCAGGTAGGCCAACGTCGCAGATAAGCAAGATGGAGCGTATTCGGTGGTATTGGGAACGTGATAGGATACTGCGAGTGGATCCAATGATTAATAACGCCACCACGTGCTATTACGAGCAAGTGAAAGCGAAGTGCAGGTGTTATTACGGAGAAATCGACCTTTTGGGAACTAAGACTTAGGACAGAACAAACAGTAAAAACATACCTCTTTCTTCTTAAATGGGTGCCAAGCTGAAGGATCGGGAAGCACTCCAGTACGCAAGTCAGCCTCGAGACTGGCTTCGTCCTGCGCCTCGTCGCCTGGACCCCATTCATCATCCTCCATTGCGTGAATGGCTGCGGTAAGTTTGTCGAGATCAATGTCAACGTCGGAATTGTCTAGATCTTGGTTCCCTTCTGCAAAATCGAAGGCACGGAGAAATGAAAGAGGAGATAGGGGCCTTTCGCTTTCAGGTGTGTTGGTGCGTGGTCTTTCTTCGGCGAACAGATCATTAAGAGGTGTAGGATCCACCTCTTGCTGTCGGTTTGCGTCGTCTACGAGGCCAGGAATAACCCGTTCCGCCGCGAGGGAAGCCTCATAACGGGCGACTGCATCGAGGTGAGGCTGTGATTTGGCATGCGCGCCGATGGTCCCCATCACTCGGTAACACACCAAGCATTTCCACTGTGGATTTGAAGCCACAGTGGAGAGTAATTCAAAGTCTAGCAAACAGCGAACATATCAGTGGATATCTCGACGCAGCAGCAATGCAAACTTAGAGCGGTTGCGAACTGACATGGGTTAGGTGGATTGGTACGTTGGGCCATTGATATGGTGAGAGGTTGCGGCGAGGTCAACTAATGGGATTTTGACTTAGTCTTGCGACTAACCTGGAGCAGATCAGAAAAAAGCGCACGAGGTGAGATTAATGTTTTTAATGATAGAGAGCGCTTGATCGAGACATTCGAGCGATGAAAGGGAAGTTAGAAGGTAGATCGGATAGTGAGAGAGACGCCCAAGAGAAACCTCACTGACAACCAAAAAGATAGAGATTGTACAAGTGGTGAAAGTGGATTGTTGATGTCGGAATTATATTGGACGAAATCGCTCGAAGTCGCTTGCGAGGAGCTCAGAGTGTTCCACAAACGGATTTCACTTGTGATGCGGCGAGGAAACGAATGGTGATAAGGAGGAAGTCAGAAGGAAAGAAAGGCCAGGTTTTGGTGGATCAAAGGGCAGTCATTCACTGACATGGGAGATCTGTCGAGATATGCTTTATTTGCTGTTATTTGTCGAGGGAAGCGATATGCGTTCGGCAAGCACTTGTTGGGCCTTCCTAAAGCCTGCAAGCTGCAGCGGTGTGGTGATCTGGAGAACTTGTCTTCCTTATGATTCTCTCTGTGGACGTATTGAGTGACTCTGTCTCCCTTGCCAAGGGCAATAAGTATGTGGTAGATTGATCTGGCCTGCTCACGTATAGCTTATCTCCGCGATTTGGGGTGACTTGTGTTTTGGGGAGGAGAGGAGGTTGCTCAGCATTTCGACTTTGACAGTGATCTCATACTCCGCATACTGGAGCGGCGTGTCGCCATGCCCTCGACCCCAGACCGGCGTTCCTGCATGTCAGCTGCCGGCGGGTGTGCACCCGTCAGAGGGCGGGTTTGTTTCCGTCCTGCGGCCACATAGTCACTTTGTGAATAGCAGGAGAGTGGACGGTCTCGAGGCGCGCGCGTGGCCACCGGGAGCCCATCAATGGGCGAGAGTCGGGCCGGTTCTTGACCCGACCTTTTAAGGACGAGATCCAGACTCAGAGTCCCCCCGTGGTAGATGATGTATTGAACGGGTCGGGTTCTTTAGTCACCGATCTTAATTGTGAAACTTCAGATGGAATTTGGAACCCAACATTACCCTCAAACAAAATGGCACCCACCCCAACATCCATGACGAAACTATTTCAAACAATCTTACCGATCGAATCCAACAAAATCGAACCAAGTTTAAAAAGAAAACTTCAAACGATTTTACTTTATCCAACATCATATGAACCATCCAAAGAAGAAAACCAAAAGAAATGGAATGGAATGATTCAAAGAAACCAACTTGATCATCAACTTGATTTGATTGATGAACTTGAATTACTTTTGAAAGAGTTTAAATCGATTGAAAGGTTTGGTGAGAATGATATACTTGTGGGTTGTCTTTGAAGAGGTTTCAAGATAACTTTTGGACTGATGGATTTTGGATTTTGGTTTTGGATTTTCATTCAGTCTAATCAACATGATCAAATGATGGCATTCCTTTTGGCTCTTCATACACCTCCGAATAAAGAAATCATCGAATTAGCAAATCAAATGAAACAAGCAAGAAAAACCAAGGTAAAGGAATGTTATCTCATGAAGAAGAAGAAAAAGAAGCAGAGGTTACAAATCTTTCTTTTTTTGAAAAAATATGAGATAGAAAAAAACTAATTTCAAGTCAATTTTTTTTCTTTCATAAAAGATTCCAGTAGAAACCGAAACCGAATTGAATCAAAAACTTTATAAATCGATCATGGAAGAAGAACCTTTTAAAGGAGATCATTGGCAAACTGATCTTTATGCTGGTTCTTCATCTTCTTATTCAGGATCAAATGTAAGTAGTGATTGGAATTCGAGAGCAGAACTTGAAGAAATAGGTCTAGAACCCAAATCAATCTCTCAACCTACTGCTTCGGTCTTGGATCCCATTCCCATTGATTCGTTAAGTATCATCGAGTCGGTTGAGGATCGGAAAGTCCGTTTAGAAAGTTATAGAAAAACGATCATGGAGATCAAGAAAAGGGAATATTGGTCTACTTTAACTGGATCAGAAGATGATCAACCTATTGATGAATTGATTGCTGTACGTGAAGTTTTGAGCGCCTTACAAGGATTAGGAGGAGATTCGATCTTTTGCAAGTCTAACTCTCGAGACGTACAGTTGGTCAAGAACCCTCCAAGATTGACACATCAGTCACAAAGTACATCTAGATCTGTATATCAATCTTATATCCCTTTACTTTCAAGTCTAGAAACAATTCGAAAGATGATTCAAACCTTTACAGATGAATGTGTGGTGGGAAGATCAAGAACTCTGGAAGCATTTGTAGCTTCATTAACTGGACTTTTACAACGTTTTGATACTTTGCTCGCTTCGATTGAACTCAAGATCTTGAATTTACCTATCTCACAAATTCAATCTACTCTTGAAGAAAGCAAGATCGGTACAGTGATTAGCTTATCACGACTATATAGCGATCTTAACTCGTTAGGTTGGGTTGAATTAGTTCCTGCTATTGCGTCTTGCGTCCCGGAGACCGGTATATCGGATTCGAATCTACCTCGAGATCCTGGTGTTCAAAGTCAACAACTTCTCAATCGTTTGTATCATATAGCATCACATTTCGATGCACACTCCAATTCTCCAATCACAGTTCAAGAAAGCAAAAGAGTCTTTCTAGAAACGTTTGAACCTATTTGGAGTTGGGTTGGATCATGGATCTTACATGGAAGACTACCTGGACCACAACACACTCAATCAATAGATTCAACCCAATATTTATCAAATTATCATGAAACCGAGATGAGTTCGAATCGAGTCAAACCTGATTTAGTTCAACAAGATTCCCAAGAGTATTTTATAAAAGAAAACGAATTTGGAGATTCATGGAATTCAGATGAATGGTGGAATTCAAATCATCAAATCATTCAAGATCATATACCTGAAGTCTTGTTGGAATTTGGGGTTGAGATCTTAGAAGGTGGTAAAGCAAGATCATTAACTAATCTTCTTCAAGTGGGACAAACTGGTGAGATCGTTTTAGATCTTTGGCCAACGTTGATGAATCTTTTGAATGAAGGTGAAACGGATGAGATGGTACTCGAACCTAATGTGGTGAAAGAAGGGGATCTTTTGAAATCGTTTTTACTTCATCCTTGTGCACAGAGTTCAAGATCTTATGGGACATCAAGTACTTTGAGGATTGGAGAAGGACTACAGATTCGGTCGATCAGACGAACTGGGTTTAAGTTGGAACTTGCTAAGAAATTAGGAACTCAACTCTCCACACGTAATCAACTTAACCATCAATCTTTACATACTCGATTCATGTCATCAACCAAATTGAAATCATATTTAATCGAATTAAATGAATTTTTCTTACACGGTTCTTCATCAACTGAAATGTTGATCAATTCGATTTTTCAAGATTTTGATGACCAATATAATTCATCTATCAATCCTGATTATGTTAATTCAAAAAGATGGTATGATAGCCAACTCATCAATCAAAACTTGATGAAATCTTTAGAAGTTTTAAATCATCCGAGCGTTTTGAAATTATGTTTACCTAAACTCAAAGTCTTAAAACCATCTCATCCGAATGATTTACAAGATCCGATTAAATCTTTAGAAAACTTGTACATCGAATTAAGTATACCGATTCCCATGAATTATATCATTAATGAAGAGATCATCTTAAAGAATTATAATTCGATGTTTATCTTACTGACTCAATTCTCTAGATCGATGAAAGTTTTAAACCGATTGATCTTAATTAAACCTACCGATCATCAAGTTAAATTAAGTTTTATGAATGGTGCTTCGTTTGAAGAACAAATCGAATCAAGAGAGTTTTATAAATTGAAGAATCGATTGAATTGGGTTTTGAATTTATGGATGGATTATTCTTTGAATTTGATCATCTTCAAGTTTAAAGAAAAGATTATCGAAAAGTTGGATCAGATTGAATTGATTGAATTGAATCAAAAAATTAAAGTGGTTCATGATTGGATGAATCAATTAATGTTTTTAATGTTTCTTTCAGAAGAAGTAAGTTGAATCGAAAAAACCAAAAATCTTCAAAGAAGAAATCCTCATTTAATAACTTTTTTTTTGGGTTGGTTTCGAAATAGTGTAAACCGATTCATCGAATCATTTTACAAATCTTAGAACTTTGTAATCGATGTGGAGAAGTATGGAAATCGTTCAACTTACAAGCTAATTCATTCACCTTTACCAATCTAAAAGATCAACGAAAATCGAATTTAGAAAGAAACCTTAAGAAAGAGATTAGAAGAAAGAAACGAATCGAATTAGAACAGTATAGATTAATTGATGAAGAGAATGAAAAAGAAGAGATGATCTTTGATGAAGCTGATGAACTGAAGAGATTGAGAATGGATGTTGAACCTAGTTTTGTTTCGAATAGATCTGAAGAATATGAAGTAGAAGAAGAAGAAAGTTTTGTAAGTCAGTTTTGTAGGATGAATGAAGAATTTGAAAAATTGGTTTGGGGATTGAAAAGAGGAATCGGATCTTTATTAATGAATCGGAAATCTAAACGTGAAAGGTTTGGAAAACAACAAGAAGATGATGATGAAGAGGATGGGTTGGGATTTGATAATGGTAATGGAAAAGGAAGAGAGGATGATGATGATGATGAAGGGTTTGTGGAGGAACAAGATGGGTTGGATTGTTTGATGTATTTGGAGTGTAGACTTGATGAATGGATTCCATGAAGAAGGATGATGATCAATTGAGAAAAGTTGATGAGTGGTGTCTGAGATATGGTAAACGTGAAGTTATTTTTTTTAATAATGATTGGATTTGGATGTACATGATTATTTTTTATTGGATGATGAGATTGATGGGTTTGTAAATGATAATGATAAGTTTTTTTTGTTGAAAAGTTTGAGTGAATGGAAGAAAGGTATGATTGTATGTAGTGTTCATGACCAGAATGAAGATACCTGAAGGCTGAAATGGGGTTTTTTAATGATCACAGGCTATAGGCTATAGATTGTGAATTTGAAATTAATATGAAGTTGTAAGATATGTTTTTAAAGTCAAGGTATTTTGGTTCATCAATTTTTACAAGAAGATCAACATGAATACAATTATCATATTAGAGGTATTGAAAAAAGACGGATCACTTGACTGGTTTTCTTGTTTGCTCTGTGGGTTTTTTGGCTCTTTTTGTTAATCTGACCTAAATTCCCTTTCTACTATTGGGGTTTGCTCAATGCTATGTACACAAAGGGTTTGAATGAATCATCATAAATGTTACTACATAAACTGGTTTTGGTCTGTTTTGGTAAACAAGTTTAGTAAGGTGTTTGAGGGTTGGCACGTGGCCGTATGTGAACTACCGCACGAAATAGGTTCTCTGCGAGGTAGGGCACAGGGGTGAGTGGGAAGACCTAAAAAAGTTTGGGATTGATTGATTGTTCTTGACTATGTAATAAGCTGATGAATTGGTTAATACGCGGATTCAGTGAAAAAGGCGTTGGAGGCAAATATGTTGTAGGGTGAATTCTTCATCAAGTCTTATGGGGAGATGCCCCGGTGCATACTCGGGTCCTCTGGCTTTTCGGGTTATGGCCCATCGGAGCTATCCACGTCCTCAAGTTACTGTTCAGGGTAACTCATTGAAAGTCATTGCCTTTGGAGTTGAAATTGGACCTCCATGACATTCTCGTGTCCCGCATTCTCTTATGGAAAAAGTGATGATGGATTTTGAGTGAAACTTTTTTTGTTTTTTATTTACCATCTATAGATTTGGATTACCTTTTCAAGTGAAAACCTCTGAAAACCTCCGTAGTAAGTAAGAGTAAGTCTATATATATGTTATTTTGATCTGAACTTGTTGACTTCCAATTCAGAGAAACTATCATTTAGAGTGAAACTATTTATGTACCGTCTTTCCATAAAAGCTTGTCCCAAAAAATTAAGAGGGACAGTGTTACACCGCGGGAATGATTAAGTTCAAAACCCGATTGAGCGAAGTTGCGGTGTCCGAGTCCGCAACTTTGCTCAATCACGGATTTCGTTCGCATCTCGTTCACATCTCGTTCACAGGTTTCCCTCGAGCTATCCTCTGCTACACCAAACTCATTCTATTCTCGACACGTGGTCATATGTAGTACATACATAGAATCCCTTGCGAGTCATCAGGCATCCTCCTTGCTACTATGTATCCTGGTATTACTTTCCAGGTTTCATTGCAGTGCTTTTGTCACGCTGCAAGAAGCATTGTCCCGACACCGTTCTTTAGGTCGCTCACCGCTGATGCTAAACAACAATGAAGTTGGTGGACCTTTTGAGATACGGACAGGGAATTGGTGGAAGGTGTGATGGAAAATATGACCTTTGGTTGTGATCCAGATGATTGATCAACAAAGAAAGGAGCTCGGTACGGACAAATTGAAATTTGATCGTGTACAAGGGAGAGTACAGCTCAAGGGAAACCTGTGAACGAGATGTGAACGAGATGTGAACCAGATTGGCGATTGAGCAAAGTTGCGGACTCGGACACCGCAACTTCGCTCAATCGGGTTTTGAACTTAATCATTCCCGTGGTGTTATTTGTAAATTTAAAAGGTAATCGCGCTGATCTTCGATAAGCCAGGTCCAACCTGACCTAGCTAAACACCCCAGCCCGAGTCGTACCCCGGCCCGTCTCGAGATCTAGATCGGGTCGGTGCTAAGGGACCAGACCTGGGTTCCATCTTGGCTATCCGGTAAATAGCTTGCCATCTGCTCTCAATCTCGATTCATCCCCTCCCTCCACCTCATCGACTGTTTTCTTTTCACCACAGGCAAGTAAAGGCATCTTTTCTTTCACTATCCATCCATCGTTTTTCTTCTCTCTCCTATCCAATCTATCCCTCAAGCTGGGGAACTCAGGGGCGCACTGATAGGATTCAGGCGCTACCTCCCCAGCTCACGGTTAACCTGATGGTTTTGGGATGGGGATTGATAGGATTCAAGCCCATCCCACCGTACCTACTTCAACCTCTCTGTTATCTAATCGCACTGTCCACTTTCCTTTTTAATCGATCGCCCGGAACACAACGATACTGACCCGAACATGATCTTCTTATAACATCTTGACTGCTCACTCGGCCCCCAAACACCGCTCAAAACCATAGCCATGAACGAAGCTCCCAATGTAAGTTATACACTCACAGTCAGTATCACTTGCGGGTTTGGCAGAGACACTGACCATCTTTGATTCTATCCCAATGTTATCATAGGTCGGTGCCGTGTCTTTGATTGAGACTGGCATCGAAGCCTTGATTGATTACACAATCTGGTTTCCCAAGGTTAAACCTGGGAAGCAAGGGAGTGGACAGTCTTTCGAATCCCCTAAGCCAACCAACAACCTCAAAGTGACGATTACTGGAGACACCGCACTGTCATTCAAAGCAGCCAAGCTTCATATCCTTTCTGAAATCAATAAACATGAATTGCTGGCGGTCACTCTTCTACGTGCCGCTGACAAAGGGGAAGGCGAATTGGGAAATTTGAAGTGGCATGTTTACATTTCGACTAGCAAACTTTACCCAAAAACTGGAGGTCAAATCGTTTTCATTACTAGTGATGAGGCTTGGAAGGAATGGCTGGATGTATGTAAGGTATCTAAAGACAAGGTCTGTGGTATCAATCTTGTGATGCAAAATCCTGCTGTGGAGCAAAAAAAGAAAAGGAAGGTGATTGATATGACTCTCTTGAGTGCTTATCATAATCCGATTTGCTGATTCTTTGTCTGTTCAAGAATGAGTCTCTCTTACTGCAGGCTGCGAAGATCACCCGTCGAAACAATCGTGTAGCTGCAAAGCAGCCAAAAAAAACACCTGGTAACAACAATCTGACACCAGAAGAAATGGCGCTCGATGATGAGGGACAGGTGGAGTTGACCAGCGACGAGATTTCTAATGTAAGTTTCATATCTTTAACTTCATCTTGATCGATTCTGATGAAAAACAACTGTGGGTTTGTTCCATGTAGTCCAGTGGAAGTACTGGAGGTGATACCGACACTGACGCAGTCAAGATAGTCGCTGATCTAATCTACAAGCGCCACCCCATCAAATCACATTACAGCACGTCAGTTCCAGTTTTTGTGGACCCAACAAACACAGATCGATTCTTTTACATCACAACCGGGATGTCTAGACTCTGGGCCACAGAGAAGGTGAGTTTCTCTTCTGATGAATACAATTTTGAAACATTTTCTAATACCTTCCAATACCCAGCTTGCATGCGATGCCACTGGATCAAAGGTGGTCACTATCGATATACCACCCAAGGCATCTGGCATTCAATGGCTGAGCCGTTCTGATCAACAAATGAATCGTAATAAGCCTGGTCCTGGTAGCAACTCAAGCCTCCGCGACATGGCCTTGATGATCAAAGAAGTATTTGGTCCAATTGGACAACCAACCTCGGATCCACTTAGCTCAATTAGTGGGCCTACTTTGAAGGCTCCGATGTCCGACTATCTAAGTTTTTGTAATATCCCAGATCTTGATGGATCAATCAAGGAACGTCTGGCTGGTGCCGGGATAGATGAATATAGTCTATTTGATCAAGAATTTCTGCCTCATCAAGATTTGACACAGCTTAATCTGAGTACAGGTACTATAGCACGTTTGTACATGAATGTCAAGGCTTTCTCCAAAAAATTAAACGATGAGCAGGTAAAATAAGTGATTTTACAAACCAGTATCATTATTAATTTGTAGTTCTTTGCTTTCTAAACTCGGTTCAAAATAACCATCATAACAATATCACAATGTATCCAAGAATTGCCTCTTGTATCCTTATCCTTATAAAGTTGTGTTTGTGACTACTATTTTAAATGCAACTTGACATTATTAAATCTCTAATTGCACAGTAATAGTCTGTACTTGCGAGGTTCTCCAGATCCCAGAACGAGTTTGATTGAATCATTGATCAGATTCAAGTTGTCTTTCACAGGACACAAAAGTGATCGGATTGAATCCATACTGCCTCATCTGCCTCATTCATCCTAGATGATGTGATGATGGACCATAACTTTATTGAACATGTCTTTGATGAGCTATAGAAAGCTTTCTATAGAGATCAAAAAAGTTGCTATTCACATCAACTGGTCCAATTTACCCAGGATGGCTCAAAATCAAAATCGACTTCGAAAGCAACCTGAAAGAAAGGCCAAGCTTGGATTCAAGATGTACAAGAGTCAATCCAACTTGTCTTTCGCTGCAGGACCTCGAAAACCTTGCCGCAGCCCTATTCCTGGTGGCAAGATTCCTTGGGTGCATCCCAAGCGATACAAAACGTTCTATATGGACAATGGTATGGCTTTGTCTAAACTTGTATTCTCATTTGCTAAACTCTTATTGACATTTGCTTTTTTCCTTTGTATTGTATGAAAGATGAGCTTCCTGACTTCAACACATACGTTTTTCTTCCTTTGAATCGGAATTGCAAGAAATCAACGTCCAGCCAGCGACTTCGATGGAAGCGAGAGGACATACGTGAACAAAAAGACTTGAACCGTTGGAACCAGGCCAACATGGCAGTCTGGCGTTCCAAACAACAAGCCGAGTCACACAGGCACTTCTTCTTTCTCAAGGGTGCTCTTGCCAATGTCCAAAACTATGGTCCTGAGTGGCTATTTTCGCCTGCCGATTACACACTTGCTCATCAAATACTGCGAGAATCATTGAAAGCAGAACAGTATCATGAGGTTCCTGTAGAAAATAGAAAACAGTGGCTTGAGCAAAAGATGTTTGAGGCCCGTCATGGCATACTCAATTTGAACTGGCACAAACCGTATTGAGTACTGTCTCCACTTGTTCATTATCAAAGATGTCATGAACTTACTCAATCAAGATACTTTATTCTACTTTATCCATATCTTACTTACTCCATCAAGAATTTGTCACATTTTCATTATTTGTAAAGTCTTTGTCTTGATCATTCATTCATAAATTGTAGCACTTATATTCAGTTTATTCATATCATACTTACTCAATCAATAATTTGTAACAATTTCATTATTCAAAAAGCCTCCATCTTGCTTATTGAATCAAACTTATTCATTCAATGAATGTACAGCTTATATTTACTTTACCCCATATCTCACTTACTCAATTGATGATTTGTAACATCTTCACTATTCAAAAATTCTTCGTCTTACTTATTCAATCAAGAATTTGTAATATTCAATCAAGAATTTGTAATATTCAATCAAGAATTTGTAATATTCAATCAAGAATTTGTAATATTTATACTATCAAAGATATCTGTATCTTACTTATTCATTTAAAGAAAATAATTTATATACACTTTGGCTGATGTTTCAATTTGAAATAAAATTTGTTCACAATGCTGCCATAAATTAGTCATCAACATTGATTGTAGATAAAGTGCCTTAAAATGTAGAGTAAGTTTGTATAACATGATAAAGAGTTTTGTTACAAGCCCACCTCTTCGTAACCACAGTATGAATATAAAGGCTTTAACAACTCATAGATAAAAATATCACAAGTTCGATCAATCAACTCGATCTTAATATCACCTACATGTTGCAATGATTGAGTACGCCGAAAAGAACTCTTCAAGACGCTGAAACCAGTCTCAATTGGGTTGAGATCTGGGCAGTATGGAGGTAGGTACCTGAGCATAACACCTGAAACCAAAAGATGAAAGGTTTCAGTTAAATCTAACATAGATCAAGCATAACATCAAGAACGAGTGACTTACCAGCATCTCGACACAACTTTTCAATGCGCCCACCGTGATGAATCTGGGCGTTGTCCAGAATTAGAACACTGTTTGGCGCTGGATAGGGCTGCATACGAGGTAGCTTGAGTTCATATAAGACGATTGAGGTCAATCATCAATGCTTGTACAGTTACGATGGAGAAAAAAACTAACCAATCTGTATTTCAAAAATTTTTCAAAGTCTAATCGCTTTATGTTACCCTCTTTCACTTTAACAGCCAGGACCCCTTTGACACCAATGGCTGGAAGGAGAGAGTATCGTTTGGCTGACATGTTACGGACAGTACGAAAGGCCTGTGTACCCTTAGGCGATCGTGCATTGAATCTTAAAAGGTCTCTTTCACAAATTGCACTTTCATCTGTGATATAAATTCAATCATCAGTCAGTATAGATTGAGGTTAAGTGAATTTTTAAGTTTCAGAGATCTTACCTGTGAAAACAAGATACTCGGCTGGAAATTGACTAAGTTCATCCAGGAATTTCTGTCGTGCAAATCCAGAGCGTTTTGAATGTCGAACATTTGCTTTCTTAAGGGTGATTTTCAATCGATGATGAAGTTCAACTTGAAGGGTTGATAATGAAGCCCACACACCCCCTTGGTCGTAAACCTGATCACGGATTTTGTCCAAGAACAGAGTTGAGTCGGTACGGACCAGCTCCTCGATGAACTCGCGGTCAGCAGGTCCATAGACACGAGGTTGTCCACGGTGATTGTAGAGGTGAGGATCTCGAATAACTGCGTGAGTGTCGTGGTACAGTTCGGTCCATCTTCGCAATGATTTTGAGTGCATTGGCTCGTGTAATGTATCCCGTACTTCGTCGTCAGTTGCTCCATCTAACAGCATGTGAACTGCTGCCACCTTGATTGCCGGATCGTATTTTACATACGGCATTGATTAAAGGATCTGATAAAGGAATCAAAATCAAAAGAAAAGGTTGCTGAGGTCGAAGGAAAGGAAAGGATAGGATGGTATCAGGGATTCACGTGTGGGTATGAGTCCACTCAACTCGTACCCATTTACAAGGGGCTTGGTCCCCGTTGCTGAGTACCCAGTATTCAGTGGTCCCTGACTGAGTTGTACAGCGGAACTGTATAACTCACATGACCGTATGTATGAGTAACACATACTCAAGTGCCCTGCCTCCCATGAGCCCTCGGACTCACACTATCCCACTTCCAGCACGCACCTTGTTTGGATGAGTACCTCACCCAAACAAGGTGGACTAGGATATCCCATTTCAACATCTTTGTTATCTAATATCCCAACTCCACCTCCCCATTATTCAAGCCTCCATCTCCCTAATCGATCTGGATTTCTTAATTCCAAAGTCTTTCAATTGAAATATAGACCCAACAGCACCAATTCCGTTGTGGCTTCAACTTCACGTTTGATCTGGCACGATTGGAAATGGGCCACCTTGAGATCTGGCTACCGGCGCTCACGTGGGTCAACTCCGATATCATGAAGGATCTCGGAGCCCTCGAGTGGAAATTTGACAACCGGTGAGGTTTTTCTTTTTAAAAGTGTTTTAAAAAGGTCATCATTGAGTAGCCTCAGGTTTTTCAAGGCTAATCATTATTGTCTTTCTGCTTTCTGTTTTTTGGTCACCTTCCCTTCCTACATTTCTTTCGAAGACCTACCGACTTCCTTTGTCACATCATGCCTAGGTTCCCTGCTCAACCTCCTCCCAAAGGCACACCCTACGCTTGTCGCACTACCCAAACCACATTGGTCGGAGTCAACAACTCACCCCGTGTGGCCTCTACACCTCGAGTTGCATCAAATCCTCGTCCGGCTCAAACCTCTAGTCGTCCTGGTAGTGGCTCTGGAACTCCTGGTCAGGCCAAATCTTGGGGACCTAAGTCATACGTGATACAAGACGAACCCGATGAAAACGAATTCGCCGGCAAGAACGTGTTGCGTGCCAACAGACACCGTTCGGACGTGTATCTTTACTTCGATGTGAGTCCAGCTAGCGTTCAATGTTTGGGCGGTTATGCCTATGTTTTGGATGGTGGGAACTAATTCTAGCTTTGCTCTTGCTTAGGAACCACGACCTCACCAAGAAACTGGCAAAGGTGATACCATGGTGTACCCCTGCTTACACTGTCCGTACGTAAAGGATTTTCTTCTCTTCTGTTACATATATAACATTGTTCCAATCACTGACTTTTGGTGTTGGTCAATTCAGTACGGAGTGTTCCATTGTTGGTCGACCAAACTCAAACCTTCACAAACATCGCCGCATTTGCCCTGGATTGCCCTCAGCTTGGTTCCGTCGCGCACCGGGTAGCATCCCACCCGAAGAGGACCCTGTCATCGCTGCTGCTCGTAAGAAAGAGCTTAGGTCTTTGCTGATTGGCGCGGTAATCAGCAAAAATCTTCCGTTTTCCATCTTCGAGGGTGACTTGATGCAGTCTGCCCTGCATGCGATTAGCCCTTCGTTTTATTGGCCTGGTCGCATGGGGATCAAAGCGGACGCCGAATCCTTATTCAAAGATCTGGAGCAAAAGCTCATGGAAGAGATAGCTCAAGTCCCCGGTGTGGTATCAACGGCGACTGATTGTTGGACAAGCCCCGATTTCTCTCACACCTACCTAGCCATCAACAGTTTCTTTTTCAACGCCGAGGGACAGTTCTGTCGCCGACTGCTAGCTTTCAAGGTGAGCCATTTTTATCTAATCTCTCATTTAAAACGTGTGTTGACGCTCCTTTTGATTTCTTCAGAAATTGGAGGGAAAACACACCGCCGAAAATCTGACGAAGGTTTATTGGGATGCCCTGGAGCACATGGGGGTCCGTAACCACTTCGCGATGACTGCTGATAACGCTTCGTCCAACCGAGCAATGGCCCGCCTTTTATCGGACCAATACGCGCGAAAGACTGTTCATTGGCCACACTAACATCGTTTTCATGGGTGTCTTTGCCACGTGATCAACTTGGTAGCAAAAGACTTTCTTGAAGGGATTGGTGAACTGACTGAGGCAGACGTGGAAGCCTTTGAAACCTCTGGACTAGCTGAAACTCGTTATCCTTTCGAACCCGACGAACTCCCCTGGACCGATGAGGACCCTCACGATGACTCGCCATCCAGCCCGGCGCCTGAGACTGACACCAACATGGAAGATGCTTCGCCGGTTGTTCACGGAGGAACGATTGAGACCAATGATGCTGATGTAGATTTAACTCAAGTGACTTTGGACGACATGTTTGATACTCAGGAAACCCAAGAATCACCCACTGTGCATGTTGCTGAGCGCCGGAAGAAGACCACCATCGTTAGCCGATTCCGGGCGTTGGATACGCACATCTGGAAAAGTCCTCAAGAATTGGAAGCCTTCATTAAAATCCGGGATAGTGTTGGTGATCCTCCTCTCCTCCCTCTTAGCTGCCCAACCACCCGCTGGAACTATTTTTACTACGTTGTCAGTTCACTTTCTCTTAGTGTTCTTCTTTGTATCATTTCTTTGGGTTAATCATGTGTCTTGACTTTGTTATCCTGCAGGTTAAGCGATCTCTCAAGCTGAGAAAGTCTCTCGAGCTTTATACGGCCGACCCCAAAAGAGCCAAACTTGCGATATCAAAAACCGATTGGGCGACTGTCAAATACATGTGCCCGATTTTAGACATGTTTGAATCGGCTACTCAGATATTCCAATCCGACCAACCGACGAAGCAAAGTGTGCTCCCGGTACTGTGGGCACTTCAAAAAGTCCTTCAGAAGCATGAGCAAGTTCCAGGACTCTGGGGACTTGCTAGCAAACGTGCTGAGGAGAAGTTGGTCAAGTATCTCACTCGTGAAGAACAGAACCATCAAACCTTGATCTCAACTCTCCTCGAACCGGAACATCGGGACATTCCGTTCCGCCGCGATTCAGCCCTGCTCGCCGTTGAAGTCACAGCAAAGCAATGCCTTCGAGATGAATACGATTTGAGGAAACCCGAGTCCACCGAATCTAGCCCACCTGATCCTTCCGGCTCTAGCAGTGCGAAGACCAAGAAGCCAAAGCCTGCTGTCAAGACCCTCAAGGACATCTACTCGCTTTTGGGATCGACATCTAATTCCTCAACCAGCACCTCTGTGGACGAACTGGACGAGATTGACCAGTATTTCTCTGGAAAGCATCCTGTTTTTGCCAACGAGACCATCGGACAGTTTTGGACGGTGGGTTTTTTTTGATCCCCTTACTTTTTTTCCAACAGTGGCTGACAATGTACCCTTATTCAGCGAATGGCTAAGACCGGTGCCCTACCGGTTTTGGCTGAAATTGCCCTTGAGCATCTCACCATCGCTGCCGCTGCCGCCTCCGTCGAACGTGTTTTTTCGATATCGGGCAACATCACCGTACCCTCCAGGGGTCGCCTCAACACTGATGTCATTTGCCACCTTGTGCTAGTTAGGCACTGGCTCACTCATTATCAGGAGTGCTTTGATGTCATGGAAACCAATTAGGGAACTCCTTCATAATTCAATCTTACTGTGTCTCTTCTTTACATTGCGTCTTGAAATGAATACATTATTTGGTTGTATTCTCACTACTATTCACGTACATGTCTTATGTTATTGAACAAACATAAATGAAATATCCCCTTGTTCTTTATGCTCTTGCTTTGTTTATATAAATCAAAGCCAATAAATTTTCCGCCGGTTTTGATGTGACTTGATCACTTTGTCCTCAAGCCTACTTAGGTGAGATTACTCATGAATATGGAGTAATTTCACTCGGTGGCTTTGAGATTCTACTCACTTTGAAGTACACTCCCATCCAAGTACTTCACCAGAGTGAGTAGAATCTCAAGCCGGTACTCGTCGGCGAGTTCATTATGAGTGCCCTGCGATTGAGTGTCAGTTGGCGCGAAAACCGAAAGAGTACATAACTCAATCGATTTTAGCAACCATCGGTACTCACGGGGAGTGCCTTGGACTCGGTTTCTAGTAACCGAGTAGAGTAGCACTCACACCTGAATCCCTGGATGGTATCGATATCGAAAGCTGTTTACCGGATAGTCAAGGTGGGAAGATAGAAAACCGGATCTAGACTTCCAGATGGGACGGGGCAGAGACTTAGTCTCGGGTTGGGGTGTTTAGCCAGGTCAGGTATGACCTGGCTTACTCGAGATCTGCTGGATCGACTTTTACCTTTACAAATAACACTGTCCCTCTTAATTTTTTTGGGACAAGCTTTTATGGAAAGACGGTATATTAATTTTTTCTATGATTATGAACACCAGGTTTAGATTTGTTTGTTTGTTGAAGAAGTAGATTTGTAGAAATCTATGATGAGATATTGATGACCGATTTTAGAAGATCTGTTTGAAGAACTTTTGAAGATGTTTGATTGATGAAGTAGATTATTTTAAAATGAACTAGTTTTGTAAATGGGATTCGATTCTTTGAGTATGGTATCTGTTCTTCTTGATGGATGGATTGAAGAGGTTTGATGGTAAGTGGTGGTATGTGAGAGCATCCGCACTCGTTTGCGGTTGTTAATTTGGTCACGTGCGGTAACAAACACAACATTAAGTAAAAAGTTACTTAACTCAACCAAATTTCGCACTCGTTTGCATTAGCAGCGCTATAACTTTTATAACTTTACAGATAGTGCATGTACTCCGCACCGGTCGTGCAGTAAGGTAAAGTTTTAATTTTTTGAGTACACATCACCTGCTTTCATGGCCAGTTTTCATGTGATAGAGGCACTGTTCTCTTCTTTGCACTAAGATACTAATACTCCATCTACACATGAAGACCCGATATCATCCTGTTCATCTACTCGATCGATAGATCTTAATTTAAAATTACAAATTTAACATGAGTTTGTTCAGATCTTAATACATGAATTCCAATTAAAAAACAAAGGCTTTACTACATCGAGAAAGCTTTTAATGAGTCTGAATACACATAATGATCTTGTAAAAGATTTAAAGAATTTAAAACTAGGAAATAAAAATCCAAACTTCAATTTTTAATTTGTATCACTTGATCCTAAAAGTCCTCCAATGATTGGTCTTTTAATGTTGATTTTCTTAAATATTGACCTCTACATAGCTATATGAATCTAGACATCTTTCATTTTCATCTGAATGGTTTGGAGTCGAGTTCAAGATGGTTGATTGACTTATTTCAATTGAAGACATCAATCGGTGTCGAACGTTCTCGAGTTGATTCATGCAACTGTAAGGCTTGGAATTCATCGTGTGTGAGTGGTGAAAAGGAGATATTGGTTGTTGACTTTGGTGTTGGAGGTCTGGTTGAGTTTTGTTTTTGGAGTCGAGTTGCCGGGAACAAGTCGTGATGTGTGATACCGCATGCGTTAGCCAATTGGTAAATTTACCGATTCGCTAACGCAAAATGACCGAAAATTAACTACCGCGGGGCTAATTTTTCACCGGTGTGGAAAAGACCCCGCGTTTGCGGTAAATTTAACCTTACCGCACCCGACTTACCGCACGAGTGCGGATGCTCTGAGTGTAGAATTGATTAAGACTCAGAGACTCAGACTAAGTATGTATGTATGTATATTCTACCAAACTCAATACTTCACTTGACTTGATTGGCATCTGGTATTGTAGTCTGACTCTTGACCTTGTTGACCCTGAATTGGTTTTTTGATTTTGATTTGATTGATTACTTGATTTGGTTTTGATTTCTTCAAGAATCGATTCTCATTCTCATTCTCAACCAATCCATCAAACCATTCATCATGAACTTACTCAATCACTCTCATTCAAATCGACATTCAAACAAAAAATTAAAAACTCAATCTACTTCAATTCATCAACATCATCAACATCAACATCATCACACTTGCTCAGATTCAGATCAATCTTCAGACCATTCTTCAACTCACAATGATCTCATCTTAAATCGTCGTCAGCATCGAATCAACCGTCGTTTAACCAATCACAAATCAACCAATCATCAATCTAACATCAATCTCAACAAACCTTCAACTTCTAGAGTACTTTCACCTCTTCCACCTAACAATCATCATTGTTTAAATTCAAAATTCAATTCAATTCCAATCCAACTCGATCAGATTTGTGATTCATTCTCAACCACCAATCATTCTACTAACATCGATCCTAATCATTCTTCAAAAACTCTACAACTTTCAAATAGAAAACGCAAAAGAAGATCACCCAATGAAAATCATCATCATCATCAACATCAACAACATCATTCACTACCACATCATCCATCAATCCGTTCGAATCACTTACGTTCAAAACCTCAAACAAGTTCTCAACCTCCTTCTAGTCTTGAACCAGCCGATTCTTCTTCTTATCAACAACAAGATGATCAATTCTATTTAAATCTGGCTACCAAAACTCAACTTTCGAGACTTAAACGGAATCATTTATTGGTTTTAACTAATCTTCTTTCATCTTCTTTGACCACAACCACATCCAACCATTCAGTCGATCTTGATGGTCTTACAAAAGAATCTCTCATCTCACTTATTCTAGATGCTGTCAGTCTTCCTTTCTTCTCTTCCCTTTTGCCACTTTCCTTTTATACTTTTATACCTTTTCTCCCTTTCTCCCTTTTTCCCTTTCAGCTTGGGATTTGGATCAAATCTAAAGGATAAGGTTCCTTTTATCGTCTATTCAGATCTTCATTTGATCTTTTGTCCTGAATGGGATCTACAGTCATCGCTTGATCCAGCTTCTCGCCCATTGGATTTGATTCCTTTGCTTTTTCCATCCTACTCACCTATCTTCAACATCATTCTCTCACCCAATTGATCAACAGAAAACTAACCATCCAATCTATCCTTCCATTCCAAAAAAATGTTACCTTTCACAATCATGCAGCGTTCTTCAGCAAGGAAGGCTGCTTCAAGTTCCGCCAAATCGGATTCGACTGAAGCTCTTATCCCAGATATCACTCGAAGACAATCAGTCAGGACCATCAGTCATCAAGCAGGACCTAGTCATTCACGATCACCTCGTCAAATGACACGGACCAAGAGCTTACCACACTGTTTGATGACAACCAATCCGAATACTAGAAGTAGTCGATCTGGTCCAAGACATGTGGTATTGAAACGTAAATCTGATGAACATTCAGAACGAGATGGAGTAGTTGAATCATCAGATTGTAGTGATTCTCGAAAACGAGAATCGAATCGGAAAGTGAAATTCGGAGATCCTCATGCCACACCCATTGGACATCGAACACGTGCCACCACCACTCAAACTTCAACTCATTCTAATCATTCAAACCCTACGAAACCGATTATCGGTAGATTAACCCGATCTAAGAGTAAATCACATGATCTTTCTGAACCGGTGGATCCCAACACTTCACCTAGAAGTGCAAGGAAATTAAGGAATGGAAAAGTGATACGAAAAGATTTTGGGGATAAGAAGATTTGTGGGAGGAGTTCGGGTAGGGAAACAGAAGAAGATGGATCGGCTGATGATGAATTGGAGAATGAATCTGAGATTGAACAGGAAGAGGAAGAGGAAGATCGAGCAGAAGGATCGGGGGAAGAGATTGAGGTCGAGGATGATGATGAGAATGAAGAGGAACAGGAACAGGAAGAGGAACAGGAAGAGGAACAGGAAGAGGAGGAGGAGGAAGAACAAGGTGCGTGTTTGAATCAATGGCTGACCATACATTTCGAATTGACGGTTTGATTTTGAATATCGATATACAGAGGAAGAAGTAAACTTGGCTGAGGCTACTTCTAAAAGGCTATTGCGGTTGAAAAGAGATAACTTGGTGAAACTATGTGAAGAGCGAGAGTTGGAGGTAGATGGAACTAAGAAGGAACTTGTACAACATCTTTTGAAATGGGTAAGGGATTTCTTTGTTTCGAGATTGGGATTGAGTTTTGAGAGATTGAAAAGTTGATCTTTTGATTTTGATTTTTGGAAAATTCGAAATGGATTTAATAGAGGAATACGAATGAGAATGATGGATTTTCACAAAGTTCAGATATTTATCCTTCTTCTGAAGGTGAAGCTGATAATGATGAATCAGTGATTGGATCACAAGGAAATCAACAAGTTCAATCATCATCATCATCAGAAGCAGAAGCAGAAATCGAAATAGAAGAAGAAGAATCTGAAGAAGAAGCAACGAATTCAGAAAAAGATGAATTAAGTGAAAGTTCAAGTTTGATTGGATCCTTAAACCCCACACCAAATCCAGTGAAGTCTAAGAAAGCATCCAGATTAAATCCACATACGAAAAAAGATGAGATAGGTGAATTATTAGATTTAGAATCATTAAATTTACAAGATAAAGAAATCCAATCCGATCAATTAAAGAAATTAGAAATGATAGGAAGTGGAGGATTTAAAGATGTCTATAAAGGAATTTATAAAAGAGTACAAGTAGCGATAGCCGATATCAGAGGACATTTAACCGAGATGGATTTAAAAGAATTAAGAATCTTACGAGATTTAAGACACGAGAATATTGTACGGTTCATCGGAGTGTCTGTACCGGAAGATCCAAGGAATGTACCGATGATGATTGTTAGTGAGATTTGTACGAATGGAGATTTGTTTGATTATATTCGATCGATTCCTTCACCTGGTTTATTGAAGATCTTGGGGATCATGAAGGATCTTTCGAAAGGATTGGATTACCTTCATTCTAGAGATCCGGTGATTATTCATCGAGATTTGAAGTCTAGTAATGTGTTGATTACGTCTAGAGGGGTGGCTAAATTAAATGATTTTGTGAGTGTCTTTTAGAAGTTTTTGTCTTGACTTTTCTTTTTTGACTTTTGATTGTTTGTTTGGTTTTCTGTTTTTTCTTTCTTTAGGGTTTAGCTAGGATTAAGAATTCGACTAGGTCTATGGTGAAATCTTTGGTTGGAACAGTTAATTGGCAAGCACCCGAATTATGGGTTGCTCATCCACGTTATGTAAGTCTTTTTTTGTTTTCTCATGTATTTTTTTATCAACAAAAAAACGTTTTTTTTTTGAGATTTTGATGAGAAAATTGATTTTCTTTTGAGATTAGAATGAAAAAGTAGATGTTTATTCTGCTGGATTAGTTTTATGGGAAATGTTACAATGGCATCAACCGATTAAACGGTACCCATTCGAAGGACAAAGTAAGTTTAAATCTCTACAACCCCTCACCCAAAAAACAACAACCAGAAAATTGAAGAGATGTGATTATTTTTTAGATGAACATGCGATTTATCAAGACGTAGGACAAAGACAATTAAGACCATCTACAGCAGGAATGAGAAGACATTGGGGAGATGAGATTGTGAATCTGATTGAATTACTTTGGAATCAGAATCCTATTGATCGACCTGAGATGAAGTTTACTATTAAGAGATTGGATGAATTGATTGAGATTGAGAAGAATAAAAAGGTTGGGAAATGAGGTCTTTGGGGGGTTTGGGATTCGGATTCGGATTCGGATTCGGATTGGGATTGGGATTGGATGGTAGGATGGTGAGGGATGGTGAGGGATGAAAGAGGATGGTGAGGGATGAAAGAGGATGGTGAAGGAACAGAGGATTTTGATTGTGAAATTTTCTTTTTTTTGGGTTTCTTTTTTTAGAAAAAAAAATCGTTTGGTTTCTGTTTGATCTATAAAGCTTCTAGATTTATGTTCGAGTTAGATTAGTTAGATTAGTTAGATTAGTTATTAGATTAGTTCATTGATTGATAAAAAATTACATTACCCCAGTATATATTTCTTACTTCTTCTATGGACATTTTATATTATTATAATCTTTGTCTTTCGTTGGTTCTACTTTTTTTTCTGTGTGTTTGTTTGTTTGTTTCACTTTACAAGAATATATATAAAAAAATTTCTTTTATTTGTAAATGATTTGAAGAAACAGAAAAAAGAAAAAAGACAAAGACAAAAGGGGATGAAAGTGGTTATGTAATGCAATGTAATCTAGATGATGTTTGCTTGAAGCTTGATGTTTGTCTTGAGTCTTGCCTGATTTTTGAAAAATGAGATGAATTTTTTTCAACAAAGTTTCAAAAGTTAAAACCTTTAGTTGGGTATGTCATACTGGGCAGAAATCTGGATTGCCAGACTCACTGATCCAGATCACCTTTCACTGAGCTTCTACACCTAGCCTGCTTCTTCACCCTTCTACCTTCATTTTTGAAGATCATGAAAAGTTTTTAGCCTTATTCAAATCAAGAAGATCTGGATCAAACTTCAACAATTGTTGTTACTGATTATTTGCCAAGTAAGGAACAGTCTTTGAAATGTGATGAATGGGACTGTGATATGGGTTTTTGTCATTGGAACTATCTAAAGAATTGATATTTGGTGATAGGTGTAACTATCAACTTCTTGGCTGTGATCATTCTTGTAGATTTTGGAATTCAAAACTGATATGATCCTTGATTTGTTGATTTTAGAAAAAATGATCTTGAAGAGAAATTGATAAGTTACTTTACTTGGGGTTTTTTAAATTTGATTGGTTTTAGAACAATATCACTAAGAGGCCTCCCCGCCCACATAATTCTGGGCAGTCTCACACCCATGCAAGGGTGGTATTTGGGATGAGTTTGGGAGAAAATGTCTTGCATGAAATTGTGGGGGTAGGATTTGGGAGTAGTACTAGAGCCAATCCTGTACAGTCCCTGCATTTTGGGTGCACATGAAAAGTCAGGGGGGAGACAGGTGGGAGGTAGCAGACAGAGTTGAGCTGAGTAGTTCAATTTTATGGTTTTCTGTTTCATATTGACAAATAGGTTTTGTAAATATAATTTCTCAACAATCAGTGCATCAAAATAGACCAGAACAAAGGCACAGTTCTATTGCTTAACATAGAAAAGTTGCTCAACAGGATCAGGGTTGGGTTTTGATCTTGAATTTTGAAGGATAGCACAACCTTTGGAAAAGCTGTCCTTGGAAGGGGTAGCTGGTAGCTGGAATGGCAAGGTATGATAGACAGGGCAGGGTAAGTTCCTTCCAGTACACAAGGGTGACATTATCTTTGTGCTTAAGCGGCTCCAAGAGGTAACAGGTAATCCCCTTTCTGACCAATCCAAGTGAGTTTAATAAAACTTTAATTTGATACAAAGGTCCAGAACAGTTGAACAAACTGGACCTGGTTTCTTCAAGGCAACATGGAGGTAGGTTTGGAGATTCTCAATTATATCATTAGCCACTAGGATAAGCTTAATCACATGCTATGTGTGACATACCTGAGGTTTTGTGATGTGTACCAATTCAATCAGCATAACTTGTAATGGTATCAGACTTTAAAGGTGTGAGAAAAATTACAAACATACTACGTGTAATTTATTAATCACAACAAAAGAGATTGGAATTATGCTGTTGATTGTGGGGTACATGGTTGCACAGAGTTGTTCAGTAGCATCACTTAGAGGTTTGAGAAACTTCATCATCACTTTGAGCTGCTTCTACTTGATTGATGATAACTTGAACTTTGAACACTCTGGAGTTCCACAGAATTGATTGCAGGCAGTCATATGTGATAAGATGGATTCACGACTGAGAGAAAGTGTTAGACAATATTGGAAAGGTAAAGAAGAAGAGAACCAATCCAAACAACACACAAACTGTCAGTATAAATATAACTAGCAGACAACCTATGATGTAACAACAACTACAATCACATGATTGACATTCATAACACCCCCCGTGCTAATAACAAGATTAAAGAACACTCAAAGATAATCTATGCATCATTAGTAATATTTTAGATAACCCTTTTGTAAACATATCTGCTAACATTTTTGATGATGAAACATGTACCAACTTAACTATTCCTTTTTCCACACATTGATGTACAAAATGATACCTTGTATGAATATGTTTTGCGCGTGAATGATGTGATGGATTTTGAGCAAGTGCTTCAGCGCTTTCATTATCTACACATGATTTAATAACCTTCCTACTTGAAATGTTTGATTCATTGAATAAAGATGCCAACCACTGCACTTCCCTGCATGAATCACTCATAGCCATGTATTCAAATTCAGTGCTTGATAAAGATGTTGTCCTTTGTTTTCTAGATCTCCATGAAATCAGGCCATTTCCTAACATAAACACGTACCCCGTTGTTGATCTTCTTTCATGATGATCTTCAGCCCAATCTGCATCTGAATATGTATGCTGTTGTATCTAAATCAGTACCTCCTAAATTTAATTTTGAATCTTGAGTCTTACATAAATATCCTGAAACACACAGAGCAGAATTCCAATGAGTATTTGACAGTTTCTTCAAGAACCAAGATAATCTATTCACTACAAACGCTAAATCAGGCCAAGTGCACTGGGCAACCCACAACAGGCCTCCTATCCAACTTGAATACAGATATTCTGATGCTTCATCTTCTTCACTTGACGGAACTAAAGTCTTGTAAGTTTCATCATTTTCTGAATTTGATAATTTGATGTTTTGTAAATTAGAAATATAATGAGTTTGATCAACCGTAACCTTATGATCCTTAACTTTTGAGATATTTAAAGATAAGCAATGTGAGAGAGGTTTATCAGAAGAAACTTCAAAGCAATTTTTAATTAAAGTCCTGAAATCATCAATTTCTTCATTTGTTCCTGTCACAGCTATGTCATCAGCATGAGTAACTAACATTGATTCAATTTCTCCATCTTCATTTTTCTGGAATGGATGGATGGATCATGAGAAGAACATGCAAATTCAATTGAAAGAAGATTTTTGTGTGACTTGATGTTCCACTGCCTTGGTAATTGTTTTAAACCGTACAGTGATATAAGAATTTGGTACACCCACTCCTCAATTAGCTATGGGGCTTCTAGTGGGTTGAGTAAGATGGGTTCCATCTTCTTGAAAGAATCCTGCACCCATTAGGATCTCTCTTACTTGTATGTCAGAGAGACCGTGATGGCGGAGTGGCGGAGCCCTTCCTTTGAGTTGGTTCTTGTGAACCGCACCCTTGGCCGGCCTCACGCCTTTGATCCCACCCACCCTTCACCCATCACAACAAAGCCCTGACCGGGTCCTCATTTAAGGTTTGTTCCTATTCAATTGATTTTTGTTCAGTTATGAAACTCAATTGCTGATCATGCGGGCCTTTATGTATACATTTCTACTATCCTGTAACTAACCGATCTCTTTTCTTTCATCTATTGTCTCTAGAAATCTTATTGTCTCAACTTTTTCTTCCTTGGAGTATGCTTTCAGGTAACACAGGTAAGCTGACAACTGCCATCTTCCTTGTTTTGCAATTGGCTTCATCGGGGTACCCAAATTATATCTGATTGTCATTGATGCTCTGCCTACTCTGAATGAGTGGCCCGACCATGTGTTTAAACCTGCTTTCCCCCAAATTTCCCCTGCTTTAGGAACCTGGGTTTTGTTAAAGCTTTGAAGGTGTTTGCTGCTGGTGTGCAGAAGATTAGGTTGTCTCTATCTGTGTTTTTGTTTGCTAATAGCACTCTCTCTAGAGAAGCTACAGGGTCCAAGACGTTAAACTGTTGTTGTCAGTGTATAACTTGTATTTCTTCAGCCTTAGCTGTTTTTTCTTTCCATAGATAAAGTTTTGCAAATTTCTTTCCATCATGTTCTCCAAGTTTGACGTGCCTGCGTAGAAGTAGCAGTGCACCTTCTTCAGGTTTACTTTGTAACAATTTGCCAAGTCTGGTCATTCCCCAAAACATGATAAGGGCCACTGAACCTACTACATTTAGCTTGTCTGTTTTTCTGTAGGTTTCTTTGAATAGTTGATAAAATTGCTAAATCATCATTGGTTGCTTATTCATGACTAATTGTTTTTCTTCTTTCTTCTGTTTAGTTGCTCTCAATACTACTGCCACTACCTTGTTATCTGCTGATGGCCTCTTTGTATGTCTGACCATACTCCATGCTATACCATCTAGGTATTTCTTGATTGTGACTGATGAGATTGTTCTTTTCAGCCCGTTCTCTATCTCAACTTTTGATTCACCTGCCCAGAATCATATATGTCTTTGTCAGAAATAGGCTGGTCCTCATCAAAAGTGCCAGATATTTTCTGTTTAAATTCTATGAATTTTTCCATACCACTGGAATAACCATTCAGTGTCTTGGTTCCCCGTCGCTTGTCCCTGTGTGTCTCCCCGCTAAAGTTGTTGCCTGCCTTGCTTTCTCAAAATGTTTTGGCAAAGGGGAATTTTGTGAGGGTGGGGTAATCTTTGAGAGTGATCTATGCTCACTAAGGAGTGAAATGAGGTGTTGGTAATAATCTATTAAATTATTATTTATTTCAATATGCAGTATTACAATACAAAATAAGAGAAATCACAGGGAAGAATAGGATGAATAGTCCGTTTGGATAAACCCAGACAGACTAAAGTTAGATGACTCCTTAAAAGGAGGTAAGAATTATAATTATTGGTTATGATAGGATAAGGAGCTGGATCCAAGGCTGCACTTTAATCTTTATAGTAACAGATTAAAGAGTGAGGTATAGGTCACTAGTCTGGTTGTTCTAAAGTCACCAACTTACGGTTGTTCAGAAGGTACACCAACCTGTGAGTTGATATAGTTCACTAACCTGCAGTTGTTCAATAGGTGCACTAACCTGTGAGTTGATATAGGTCACTAACCTGCAGTTGTTCAAGAGGTAACTAACATGAAGTTAATTGGAAGGTCACTAACCTAGAAATGATCTACTCAGGGGAAGTAGAGGATCCAGAAGATGAAGAAAGAGATTACTTGATCTTTTAGTCAGGAAGCTGCTTTAAAGATATGAAGTGAATCACTAGTCTTATTATTATAAGACTCTTGATTTTTTACTTCAATTGAACTTCAAAGGGTTCTTTAAAAGAGGTGTGTAATGAATTGCTTGGGGGAAAATATCTGAAGGCTGAGAGAGGAGGGGTTTATATACTCTCCTCTCTAAACCTAACTGTAGTGATATCTGTCATTATCACTACATTGGTTCAGGGTTAATCATTACTATATGTTAATGATTATTATTGTTAACAGTGCTTGATTACATATACATGTCATGTATAATATGTAATATAAGCATTTTAACTCTTGACACTGAGTTATGAGGTGTAGATGGTATTTATTACATATTGCATGTTGTTTTAAGTGTACATTTATATGTAATAAGTGTTTTGGTACATCGTATTACATGTTACATACAGTCTAAGTTCAGTATGTAGCATGTAATTAATTTTATACATAATGTTTTTAATGTTAAAAGTTAGTTCTGGGTACATGTATGTGTACTCAGGGCTGACAGATTTACTGACATTTTATTGCAGCGCTTCATGAGTTTATTGGTTTTTTTTGTGTTGCGTCTGACAAAAGTACAAAAGTACAAAACCTAGGTTAAAACCGGTTTTGTACCAAAATAACGGCTGAGAATATGTCAATACACCTCAGACAGATCCATTAACGGACAACAGAAGTGTCCCACCTTACCTCTCTGACCCACTCATGGTTTGTATTGAACAAAGAACAATACGAAACAATTCCTTTTGACCTCCCAGTTACCCGAGAGCAACTGAAGAGCCTCAACCAATACCTTTAGTATAATCATCAATACTTTAGACCTCCCTCTTTCCGGACAGTTACCTGGTAGGAACTGAAGAACCTCAACCAATACCATTGGTCACATCATTAATGGTCTTGCCTTTCAACACATCCAAGCTCATCCTGTTGACTACGGCCACCAACTATTGATTCCCACCGCATTTCAAACCACCAATTCAACAGCACCTCTTTAAAGGCTTTTCCCACAACCCAATCCTGTTTCCTATTGCAATTTAAATTGTTAATGTAGGTTGTTTTCCGCTATCATAGTATCTTTGGTCTCAAACTCACATACCATTGATGTGATTCATTCAATCTCTTTTGGTAACAATATTTCCAATCATGACTCAATGGTTTTTTTGCTTGAAATTGGAATCAATCTTGCGATTCATCAAAATCAAACTTGTTTGGTAGAAAAACTGTCAATCACAGCTCATCAAGCTCATCTTTGTTCATATCAGAACCAATCTTTTGATTCAAGTTCTGTTGGTAGCAAATCTTTCAATCACGGCTCAGCATGCTTATTTTGGTTCAAATCAGAACCAATCTTCTGATTCAAGTTTTCATTGGTACCAAAAAAACCCACAACTCTGACGCAATGAGGGTACCTTTCTGGTCAGAAATTCCTTAAGTGACACGCCCTCAAGGAATTTTGGACCAGAAATCACATTCTGTAATTTTTTAATGCAAAAATGAAACATGCACCACCAAATAGACACTTTAAATTTTGTAGAATGTGATTTATCACCAGAAATTGCTCAAGTGAATGCGCCCTAAATCCAACACAAATACTGTGTGCTCTTCCGGTAGTGGTGAGTCATCATCTCCATTGAGATCCTAGTTTACCAGTTTTTATCATTCTTGGCTAATAATGTGTCTTTGACAGGTGGAAACTCTACGAGCTCGAGTGAGTCTGGTGAAAGTAGTGCAGCAGCCGGTGGTTCAGCTAAGTCGATTGAAGAAGATCAGGTGGGTTGTGCAAGGTATAATCTTTAGTATATCACTGGCATGATCTAATATGTTTTTTTATAAAGATTCGAGGTGAAAAGATTCAGGTGACACCAACACATATACTGTGAGCTCCGCCGATAGTGGTGAGTCATCATCTCTCTCACAATCTTAATATGCTGATTTTTATAATTCTCTTCTTATAATTTCGAACAGGTGGGAACTCTACAGCCTTCAGCGACTTGGGTGAAAGTAGTGAAGCATCTGGTGGTCCGGCTCAGTTGAGTGAAGAAAATAAAAGTATGTCGAGTCACGTTTGATAATTATTTAAAGTTTCAAGCAAGAATGGTGAAGCAGACGAGTTGAATGAACATCAATACCTTCAGAGATATAAAAATCGAGTAATTCGGCTGCAAGTTCTTCAGAAGCAGATACTTCCGGCTCCTCTGGTTGGCCCAAAATGGGTAGAGGAATGGATGGAGCAGAAATGGGGCCTGTTTTCATGCGTTGATTGAAAAAATATTTCAAATCTATGTCCGGTGGGTCTAATGAATGCCCGTTCAAAAATATGCACGCCGTTGGCATAGGTAGTATGGGTGGGATGAGTGGATTGAGTGGGACGAGTGGTCTTGGTTTGCCTGGTTTGCTTGAAGCTTCAAGCGTAGGATCAGGATTTGGTAAGATGGGTGCGGGGGGATTAGGCTTGTAGCAGGGTCTTGACCCTTATTAATATTAGGCTATTAAAGACGATTACGCTGAAACACGCCCTTAATAATAATAGTTAAGGGCCGTGTGGTTTCTCCTCAAGACAGTCGGACCAGCAGGTACAACCAAGATGAAGACACAGCATAGGGGTCTGACAAATGATGCCTACTCACTTAATCAAGATACGCGACAGTAGATAAATAGAGGAACTACGTCCTTGTTGTAATGTTCCCTCAGTTACGAATCATCTTTTATTTCTGTTATCATCTTCAGTCTCATTACTTGTTATCAATTCACTTTCTGGTTCATAGTTATCAATTCCTTTCTGGATTACGCAAGTACAAACTTGGTATATCACAATCCATCGCTTGGGAATGGGTTCCGGCCACTCAGCTATGATGGGCCACGGCCTTGGCATGGGAGGAATGGGTTCTGGCCACTCGGGCATGATGGGTCTTGGCGGAGGTATGGGTGGACTTTTCGGTGGTGGGGGTGGTGGTGGGTTTCCTGCTTTGGGTGGTCAGGGCTGTGCCAAAAAGGGCTCATCCAGTAAATCGAGTGACTCGAGCTCCTTCGAAAAGTCCTCCGACTCTTCTACCAACTCTGCTACGGACACCAGTACCAATGATTACTCCGGCTGGCCAAAATCTTCCTCTGGCTCAGCAGAAGATACGACTGCAGAAAGCAAGGCGACATCCTCTAGTTCGGATTCCAAACCCGCCGACAGTCCACCAGATGCATCCAAGGCGGACGCCGACGCCGACGCGGAGGCGGACGCGGCCTCCAAAGCAGATGCAGGCGGAGGAGCGACAGCAGATGCAAGTGCGAATGCAGACGCCAGTAGCAGCAAGACTGAAAGTTCCTCGGGCGGGCCAAAATCTACCTCTGCTGAAGAAGCTCACGCGACTGCAGAAAGCAAGGCAACATCCTCTAGTTCGGATTCAAAACCCACCGACAGTCCACCAGATGCATCCAAGGCGGACGCGGACGCGGCCGCTAAAGCAGATGCAGGCGGGGGAGTGACAGCAGACGCAAGTGCGCATGCAGACGCCAGTACCAGCAAACCTGAAAGTCAAGACGACAAGTCAAAGGCTGCACAATCAGCAAATAAGTCCGAAACTTCCGGAGGCTCGAGTGCTAGCGGCAGTTCTAGTGGAGGTGGAAAAATCTCTGTTTCGACTTCAAGTCCCTCTGGCCAAGATCAAAAAACAAAGACTGTTGCACCTGGACAAAGTGGTAGTCTCTCGTCATCTTCTCCTGGTCGAAGAAGTCTCGCATCCATCCGACGAAGGCAAATCGCGACGCGTGATCAATCGGGCTGGCCAAAATCTACCTCTGCTGAATACTCAACTGGAGAAAGTAACCCCGCAGCTAAAGCATCGACTTTGACTTCGAAACCCACCGACAAAAAACCTGTCAATACCGCGCCCACCAATTCCGGAGGCGCAAGTCACCATGGTAGTCCGAGTCGAGCCTGGTGGTGAAATCTTGATCTCGACTTCAACTCCATGTTCCCAAAATGAAAACAAGAAGACTGTTGCACCTGGAAAAAGCGATGGTCTCTCAATATCTTTTCCTGGTCCAAGAAGTATCACATCCCTCAGCCAAAGTCGAATTGCGATTACCCAATAGAAGACCTTCACTCAAATTTCCATCCGTTTCATGAAGACCTGTGGTCATTCAATTTCTATCATTCGTTTCTTGCTCACATTTTTTGTTGTCTGTGCCTCGTAGAGTTTCATCATGTATTGGTTGTATGTCTTTCGTTGAATCAAAAAGCGGTTGTAAAGTATCAATTGTATAAGACCGCGTCCTTTATATCTTTACACTGTACTCAAATATGAACAATTAAAGTCTATCATGTTACCTCATCTTTCAAGATTTGATCGAATGCCTGAATCTGATCACACTTGATTCTGACTGGCCTGCGGGCGTATTGTGCATATTGGTATAACCTGGTTATCTGCACGCTGATCAGCTTTGCCACATTCCCAGCGCGCGGCCACAGCACTAGTATTGAGGTCGACATGTGCTCAGCAGATTTCTTCCCTCATAAATTGACAGTTTGCTTAATTTTGGCGACGTGAAATTTGATATACCCCAGCACCCGGTCCTGTGGTGTTCCTTTGAGGTCAGCGTCCGAAGATCCGAATGAGCTCGGGGCATGTTGAGCCCCGAGAGCTCGAAGAAGAAAATGACATCATGGGCAGACGAGAGAAGCTCTGAAATTCTTTCGAACCAAGTTTCTAATCATGGCATCAACTAACATCCTCAAAACCAACGCATTCACCTCAAGTATCAGGACTAGTTTCAAATCGAGAAGAATTCCAATTCATCTCAATTCAACATCCAAGTCATACTCTGCTCAAGTTGATCATGGTCAATCGGGTCCTATCTGCTTTGCATTAAGTGAAGATCAACAAGCTTACCAAGGTTCGTACAATCTACCATGAGATTTCCTGAGATTTCCTTCCTGTCTGAAAATCAACTGATCAGATCGTAACGCCCCCGTAAACCCTTCAGATCTTGCTCGACGATTTACGGCTGATCATATCATTCCCGTCGCTGCGGAGTATGATCGAACGATGGTGAGTTGAGCTTCTTCATTTCAGTCTATAATTCGAATTCACTCATTGATACTCATTCAAACAAACCATCGTTCAAAACCTACAGGAATATCCTTGGCCAGTGCTGAAAGAGGCATGGAAAGCAGGTTTAATGAATACACATGTACCGACCAAATACGGAGGAGCAGGACTAGGATTAGTAGAATCTTCATTGATCTCAGAAGAGATCTCTTACGGATGTTCAGGTATTCAAACTGCAATTGAAGCGAACGGATTGGCTCAATCTCCTTTAATAGTTGCCGGGTCAGAAGAATTGAAAACCAAATATCTGGGCATTTGTACTGAGAGTCCTTTGGTGGCTGCTTATTGTGTCACTGAACCGGGTGCTGGTAGTGATGTGGCAGGAATCAAGACTACGGCAGTGAAGAAAGGTGATCAATACGTGATCAATGGTACCAAGGTTTGACTTTTGTTACCACTCTCACTTTACCATCCCCGTCTTGCTCAGCGATTGCAACTGCCGGTTGTGATCCACTAGTCATCTTTCCTGACATTTTCTTCTTCTTTCTATTCATCATTAGATGTGGATCACGAACGGTGGTCAAGCAAGTTGGTATTTTGTTCTTGCCAAGACTGACCCCGAAGCAGGTGAGTACGATCGGATGTTTTGTTGAAGAATCCAGAAAAGACCTACATTACTGATCGTGTGTTTCATGAATATCTGTCTCATGATCTCGATCACGTGCAAAACAGCCGTCCACAAGTCAATGACAGGCTTTGTCGTCGACGCGAACACTCCTGGAATCACTGTCGGTAAGAAAGAAATCAACATGGGACAAAGGTGTTCCGATACTCGTCAAATCACCGTACATATCCACCATGAATTCATACTCTATCGAATTTGTATCGTACAAGACTGATTATTATGTCATTTATTTAGTTTGAGGATGTGGCGATACCGGCTTCCAATGTGATCGGAACCTCGGGAGAAGGGTTCAAGATTGCGATGAAGGCTTTTGACATGTGGGTTTCACATTTCACCCTTAGATGATCTGCTTGAGATATCTCTGATTTGATCTTCTATCAGTACTCGTCCACTTGTAGCTAGTGGTGCAGTTGGATTAGCACAACGTGCTTTAACTGAAGCAGTCAAGTACGCTCAAACTAGGAACACGATGGGAAAGCCAATCATCGAACACCAAAATGTATCGTAAGTCAATCCTCTTTTCGTCTGTCTCCCTGCTGGGTACGAAGTGGTTAATTTTGATATCACAATGAGATAGACACATGTTGGCGGAGATGACGATTGGTGTGGAAGCATCTCGCATGATGGTATGGAAGTCTGCTTTTGTCAAAGATATAGGACAAAGAAATAGTTGAGCTTTATTTAATTCTTCCTAAGAAAAAAGATGAGTCGCTGATGACTGTACGATTTGTCTTGTAGCCTATTATGCTTCAATTGCGAAATGTATGGCATCTGAAGTTGCGGTCAAAAACGCCGGATTAGCTGTTCAAATCTTTGGAGGGGCTGGATTCAATACTGAATGTGAGTTTGTCTTCCAAGAATTGTAAATTTGAAGAAAAACTACATGAATGAAATGGTTTCTCATATTTGTACAATAGATCCGGTTGAGAAACTTTATAGAGATAGTAAAATATTTACACTCTATGAAGGTACTTCACAAATCCAACGTTTAATTATTTCTAAGGTATGATTTCTTAACACTTTTCTTCTAAATTCTGATCAGTTGATTGAACTTTTATATTTCTTTTTTGGATTTGTTTATAGTTTTTGTCAGGTATGTATCCTGCTTAATTGAGCAAGCACGTGTCACGTTGAGTTTGTATTCTTTTTCATTATGTAAATCATGTGAATGTACACATTGTCATGTTTCCATTTTTGCATTTTGATGTGTATGTAATAATGTACAATTGCAAGAATCTTTTTCCTTCACTGCAATTTTGAGGTCGTTTATTTCGGGTAAATGTAAGTCTTTACCAGTGATGTTGGTGGAATGCCATCATGAATGTAAGGAAGATGTCTCACAGTTTATCAACATGAATAACCTTGATTGTGGTTATCTCTATAGAACCTTGAATGGATGGTGAGTCAAACATGATAAGTTTTGATGACAAAAGGGCTTTCAAAAGAATTACTGTTCAGCAACTCTTTATGAGTTGTAGCAGGTTTATTTGAAACTTAAAATCTGGAGCGGAGAAAAAAGGCCTTTGGATATCTTTTCTTCTTTCTTTCTCCTTTGCTAAAATGGCGATGCACCATGGATGGGTGATATATTCCTATTGATAATATATGATAAACTTTTATATCTGGACTTGGATTCAATTTGATTGGGGAAAATGTCGGAAGCTGGAGGAGGTTGCAACTTGCAAGGACTTGCACGCCTTGGCAAGTTGTCCGGGAAGTTGGCACGAGGACTGGCCACAAGTGAGGTGTCACCCTTGATTTGGTATGGTAGATGTGTGAAACCTCTGTTCAAGGGTGTGACATGTTGTAAATGGTAGTGAGAAATTTGAAGTTTCAGTTTTGAGTTTTGAGTGATCATTGATTTCTTGATTACCTTTGAATCGATCGACCGACCACACAATCAACCACTTACGTCAAATTGAATATTCATCATGAGTTTCTTCGCCAAAGACCCACGGTCAAGCATGATGCTCGGTCAGTGAACTTTTTGATTCCTCAATTCTGATTTCTTTACTGACTTTTTCGTCGTGTTTGACGTGATTTAAGGAAAACAGGAGGTGGTCAAAGGACGACTGGAGCAGATGTTAGACAAGAAAACGTAACAGCTGTTATGGCTGTAGCTCAGGTATTGAAATCAAGTTTAGGACCTGTGGGATTAGACAAAAGTCGGTTCTTCCAAGCTTTTCCAAGAGAAATGATCCGAATGACTGAAATATGATGTGTTCTAACACCAACAGTGATGGTGGATGATATTGGTGATGTAACCATCAGTAACGACGGTACGGAATTGATGTTACCTAAGCCTCAAGAACCGCTGATACTAAGCGCATACACTCTTTGTGAATGTTTCTTTCAGGTGCGACTATTCTTTCATTACTAGAAGTTGAACATCCAGCAGGACGGATATTAGTCGAACTAGCTCAACAACAGGATAAGGAAGTGGGAGACGGTACTACATCGGTTGTTATCATTGCATCTGAATTGCTTAAACGAGCCAACGATCTCATCAAAAACAAGATTCATCCTACCACGATCATCACGGGTTATCGTTTGGCATGCAAAGAAGCCATTAAACATATTCAAGATCAGTTGGTGATCAAAGTTGAAAACCTTGGAAAAGATACACTCCTCAATGTTGCCAAAACAAGCATGTCCAGTAAAATCATTGGCTCGTAAATTCCCCATAAAAAGCTCATATCCGGAATTTTGAATCATTGACCGCCCCCATATTCGTTCCTTTTTTTCTCGCTGCAGTGACGACGAATTCTTTGCTCAGCTTGCAGTTGATGCTATGCTGGCGGTCAAGACCATCAATCCTCGTGGTGAAGTCAAGTATCCTGTCAAGGCTGTTAACGTGCTCAAAGCTCACGGTAAGAGTGCCTTGGAGTCAATCTATGTCAAAGGATATGCACTCAATTGTACAGTAGCCAGTCAAGGTATGGCAAATCATTCCACTTTCAAATCCTGACCTGAGTAACAATTTTGCAGACTGCTCACTTGTTTTTCATGCATTTGGTTGTCATTATATAGCTATGAAGAAGAGGATCACCTCCGCAAAAGTCGCATGTTTAGACATGAACCTTCAAAAGACAAGAATGCACCTAGGTGTTCACATCACTATTGCTGATCCTGAACAGCTTGAACAGATTCGAAGGCGGTAAGGTTCATTTCACTATTCTATCAGACATGATGACATTATGAGTCTCCTCTGGCTGTTTCTGATTCGGATATCTTTGCTCGTGTGGCTGCTTGACCTCATAGGGAATCTGAGATCACGCTTGAGAAAGTTCGAATGATCTTGAAATCAGGAGCTAATGTGATCCTCACCACTGGTGGAATCGATGAATTGTGCTTAAAGGAATTTGTTGAAGCAGGAGCTATGGCAGTACGAAGGTGCAGGAAGGAAGATCTGAGACGGATTGCACGATGCACAGGTGGTAATGTGGTCAGCTCTTTAGCAACGTTGGATGGTGAAGAAGCTTTCAATCCGGCCGATTTAGGAACTTGTGAGGAAGTGGTACAGGATCGTATCAGTGATGATGAATTGATCTTGATCAAAGGTACTAAACTACATAGTGCGGCTTCGATCATCTTACGTGGTGCAAATGGTATGTCATTCACGCTCTCTGCTACTGCCCTCGCCATTTTCAATATAATCTTTGCCTGTCCCCATGTACTCACATGAAGGCTTTTTTTGATAGATTACATGCTTGATGAGATGGAGCGGGCTTTACATGACTCGCTTTGTGTGATCAAGCGGACACTTGAGTGTGGCAAAGTAGTACCTGGTGGTGGTGCTGTTGAGGCAGCTCTCAGTATTTATCTCGAGAACTTTGCTACGACACTCGTACGTACCTCATTGAACCATCATGATGTGACATGACATCTTAAGTTGACATATATACGATTCTATACCACAGGGCTCACGAGAACAATTAGCGATAGCCGAATTTGCTGCAGCAATGTTGGTGATCCCTAAAACCTTGGCCACCAATGCTGCGAAAGATTCAACTGAATTAGTAGCCAAATTAAGAGCAATTCATAATATTTCACAAACTTCGGGACCTGAAGATGCTAAAAAACAACTTAAATATTTTGGACTTGATCTTGAAAATGGTAGAGTTTCAGATTGTGTACAAAGAGGAGTTTTAGAACCTATGGTTGGTAAGATCAAGATGCTGAAATCTGCACTTGAAGCTTGTACTGCACTTTTGAGAATTGATGAGTGAGTGTTTCTTCGTACTTGGGTTTCCTTTTGGCTCTTCTGGTTCATTGAATCTGTATTGATGAAACTGGGTTACTGATCATGTGCCTTTTTCTTGTGACTTACTCTTGATCGATATTTGATCATAAAACAGTCGAATCGTCTTACAAAAAGAAGAACGTGGAGGAGGAGGTGATGGACATGACCAATGTTAAGACTTGTAACTCAAAGTTAAAAGATTATCTGTCAACCTTTTTCAGATGAATCTATTTACCCAACCTTTGATCATCTATTAATCAAATCTATTGATGATGATGTTTCAATTTACATCAAAGAGTATGTGCAGAAGAAAAAAGATGACTAGATTTATCATTCACTGGATGAGTTTAGCGGTCATATCTATCATGATCAGTGTCAACTAAAGACAAAAAAATGTTACATTTCAACAGTTTAATGAAGACTTAATGAGAAATATATGGTACAAGTGACTTTTTGAAATTTTTTGAATAGGCTAGACTGGAGACCTTTGATTGGTGCCAGCTTCTCTTGATTAATCTTGGCACCATACCTGATTACTCATTGATTCTTATGATGATTTCTTTGATCCATGAATTTGATAGAGTATTGAGATATATGCATCCAAGGTGCTCTCAACTGATACCCAGAAATCAATGTCGTTTGTTAGTGTGGTGTTTGAATAGAATGGTTGAAAAAGTGTGAAATAAGTTATAAAAAACTCCCTAGCTTGTCCAAGGCGTTCAAAGGTCTGAGCTTGAAAATTTAACCGACTTGGATTGTTGGATTTCTTTGATTGAATATTCCCTTTATTGCTTACTTTTGATGTTGATTGGTCACCCTCATGAGAAGGCTTTTGATATTCTCAGAATGACTTTGAGGTAGGTTTTCAAGGTAAACAGACATTTAAATTTGTATCATCTCAATGGCCAATGTCAACGGCGAAGTTGTTGATTGCTTGATTCTTACTTTCTTTCCCTTAGAGTTCTGATTTTTTCATAAACAGTTTGATTATATTTTTGAACAAGACAACTTTCAACCAAGAGAATGTATGTTTGTTCCATAGTGTTATACTCTTTGTCTTCACATTTTTTCCAAACAACTGTAAATTAGATCTTGATCCAGCTTACTCCTGCTTAAATCTTTATCGAATTCGGAGACTCAAGCCAGCGTGACTGGAAGAGTTAAATCCGAGTACAACAAAGAAGGCCATGTATGATCGATGAGAAATTGAAAGACAGGGTTGTGGAGGCTGAGAAGAGGATCAATATATGCGCCAGAGCCCAGCATGGATAGACCATCATTCTTTACATATTATGATATTCATCTGCATCCGAGATAGATCACAAACCCCTTCCGGAGAAAATTCAACTTGGTTATACATATGGATAAAGTTGACTTGATCATGATTCACGGCTTATCACCCCGAATTGTTTCTGTCAATAAAACTCTTCACCAGTAGTATACTAGGGACTGGGCGAGGTTTTGACCGACAGAGGATTTAGCCACCTCAATAAGCGCATGAATCCCCTGGAAGTCGACCGAAGCGATTTATGCAAACAGGAGGTGTCAGGATTACTCCTACAAGCCCAAGAGACCCGACTGTCAGATGATTTCACCAAAACCAGAGCGAGAGCAACCTGTGAAAGGTATATCAGGCTATCCAGAAGCGTTCTGCCATAGGCTTTTGGCTGAGGTGGGGGGGAAATTTTGAATAGACAGCTTGTCTTAGGGAGGGTCATGCCTGTGCGCCACCCTATTTTTTTTAGTGCCATAAAGCTTACTAAAAAAAATAAGGAAATTTCATATTGATTGAACAGTGGCTTAGCTGTTTGCAACTCGCTTTCAATTACGGTTGAATTGCAATTTTGCAGAGCTTCGCCCAGTCCCTACTATCGCCGATGTGCGGGTCCCAAGCAAACCCAAGAGAATTGACATCTTTTTGCGAGTGAAGAGATGGGGAAAAAGCTTGGCGGAAGTGCCAAACGTGCACTTCATCATGATTTACTTTGATGTGGAAGAGTTACAAAACAAAGTAAAAAATGAGCCAACTTAAGATTTAACCAATCGAAATGCTTGGTTGAGGTGTGATTCAACAAAATGTATCTATTTCTTTATTTCTCATTCGAAAAAGGTGATAGAAAAACACACTTGATGACTTCGTCATATTTGATGTTCTTGCTGTTCTTGATCTTGCTTCCCTTTGATGGGATGGGGAAATATCTACATATGTATCTACATACTTTGGTCAGAACAGTTGGATTGATAGTTTACCTTTTTGAACTTCACTTCAATGGTTATTCCTCAGGATTGTAATCCTAAATTCCTTCAGAGGCTTGAGTTTGAATCAAGATCCTATTGTTTTCGGCTTCTGATTCTGATCCGACCGGCTCATCCTCTTCCTTGAATGACACCGTACCGTCAGCTGACCATGGTTAAGGAGATCTTCAGAGAATTATCAAGAGTATATGCTGTTCAATTGTTTGTTGGATGTACTGCAAGTGATCATGATCCAAGATGAGCATCCTATTCAATCATTTGATCAATTTTAGTTTTGTTGAAGACTTTGCCTTTTACATAGTTTTACCAAGAGCTTGTAGGTCTTTAACTTTTTGAATCCCACCCATAAAACACAACTTGAACTTTCAAGATCAAAGAAGAGTCATGCTTCGAGTGGTGAATCTTTTGATCCTCTTTATTTCTCGTTTTACAATTCTCAACTTGAGCTCGTCAGGTTTGCAGAACTTGGGTTTACATCTTCCGACGTGGCCACACTTTTCTTAACCCTTTTTCTATATCAATTTCCAATTCACTTGTTCTCATTCACACTCAAGAGTCAAATCTCTTCCTTCACTCGACTGTCAATTCACCATTCAACTTTATCCAATCTGTTCATACTCAGACCGTGAGATTACATATACAATATCATTTATTTCAATTCTCATCTTTATCAAATCATCTCTCATCAACTCTCTCAGTGCATTTCGTATTTTGTATTTTCAGTTCCAAAAACATTTAACATACCATATCTCTTCATCTTCGCCCCTATCATAAGTATAAAGAAAGATTGAAGCCGATCCCACTTTTATTCTTTCCTATCGAATAACCTTTTTAAAAATCATATGTACATCTTCTAAACAGTCAAGAAACAACCTGTTCTTTTACCCCGAAGTCATCTATCACCAGTTTCAGACTATACATTCTTAAACGCGATGGCATCTAGAGACGTTCAAAGGACACCATGGTTATCTCATGCAGATTTACTCGATCATATCACTATCCTCAATGCCTTTCATCACCTTCGTACTATTCGACCTGAACCCGAGTTCTTACATATGGCTATCTTTCGATTCGAACTTTGGATCGGGAGACTTCAACCTATCACCATTGATCTTGATACTATTCCACCACTTGATGTTTTGATGGTTTGGCATGCTTATTGTTTAGGATCAAGGTATGTAAAATTGACTATCATTTGTTTTCTTTAGATTTAAGATCATTTTGATATCTTTATTCTTCATACATATCTGGTTGACTCATTTTATCATTTTGTTTAGATGGATGTATGAAGATTCAAGACGAATGTATCCTATTCTTAAGGCTGTTTCATTCCCTCTTTCATTAGCTGTAAGTTCATGAGAACTCTTACCCAACTTCCTTTATAAATCGAGGCACAACTATATCTCGAATGAAAATGCTCATTGAAGACGTTTTTGTGATATTAACAGGCTAGTCAATATAGGAGAACTAGATCCACATTACATCCGATGGGTGTATCGATCTCAGAGAAAGCTATTAGACATTGGTTTGATAGTACTAATACTGCTTATCATCCTACTGAGTATTTCGAAAGTCCTTCGTTTCGTACTTCACTTTGTCCACGTTGTGAATCTGCTATCGAATCTCGTACGTTACCTATTTTACCACTGATTCTCTATTAATGATCACGTCTGATGCTGATTGAGAAACGCTAAATTTGTAACTTTATATCAGGTTTCACTAATCGTAATCATACCGGATGGGCCGAAAGTTATTCATGTCGTCTTAAGTGTGAAGGATGTAGATGGCAGGGTACGAAAGCAGATCTAGCGGTTCATAAATTACTTCGAGATATTTATTCTCTCTCTTTACCACCATTGGCCGAGTTTGATTCTATGGGGTATGTCTCATTGTTCTCTTGACCAAATCACATCCAACAAAGTCTGATTTTTTTTCTTTGGTTCTCAGGGGGACTTTGAGTACTAGCAGGAAATTGGAAGATGTTGAACATGCTGGGACATTCAATCGATTGGTTACTCGTTGTTTCGCTTCGGTGTCTAATACTGATGTTGAACAACGTTTATCTGCTACACAAGCTGCAGTTCAGACAATGAAGGTTTTAACAGCTGTTCCTAAGTTAGTAAACCCTCAATATATGAAATGGTACACTAGAGATTTACTGACTTGAATCGTCACAGGATATCAAAGACTGAAGGTGTGAATCGAATGCTGAGTGCTTATAGTGTTCCGGAGCCATTTTCACTTGATTTGATCACATTTGTTGAGTTCTTTCACTTTCAAATCATCATCTTATCACTAGACTCATAACTGATCTTCTGCTTTCCACTTTTCTTTTTCATAGATGAAACGACAAGAAAGCTTCAGAAATGCAATTGTAAGCTTAGGTTGGAATAAAGCTGCTGGTGGTCGTGATATTGAAGCTTCAAGTCGAAAGAATTTCTCGGGTTTGGCTATTAATCGGGCTTGCTCAAGATATCAAGCGTAAGTATCAATTTGAATGCGTCTTGAGTCCATCAGAGAATTGAACGTGATTTGTATGATAGGTTCGTAGAACTTTTAAAGGTTAGAGATAATACTTCAATCGATACTTGTATACCTACATGGGATATGTAAGTCTCTATCACTCATTGGCTGTTATGACATTTACCATTCTGATCTTTGAATCTATATTCCTCTCTTTGATGTGTTTTACAGAGATTTGGCTTGGAGGACTCATCAATTGAAGGGTCTTAGTTATAGTGATGCAATGTTTGGACATCTTGGAAAGGTAGTCGATCAGTTGAGTTCAATTATCGCTTTGTATCTTGCACACTATGATCTATACTCACTCTGAATCATTGGGAAACCATATAGCTTTACTGAGCGAGTTTTTGATCAGCATACACTCACGGCTTTATTCGAATCCACCTCTAAAGCTTGGGAGGTATGTGAAGACACTGACCCAGAGCAATGTTGCATTTCAATATCGCTTAAGATTTCCCTTCTCACTTCCTTGCTTACCGACAGAAACTTTACGGTGTCAGTTACTCGCAATACCCAGCCCCCGAAATTGTCTTCGATAAACCTGAACCGTTACTCAAAAACAGACTTAACCTTTCGGCTCGTGCACCTTCTCCACCACCCGTCTATGTACCAGATAGCGACAGGGAGGATGGATCGGTGGTCGCCCCTCCACAAACGGTTCGCTTTATGATCGATGGGTCTCGACCTTCGATGACCGGCAGTCAAACATCGAACCCACCATATGAGCATGAACGACAATCAAGTATAGGATCTAATGGTTCAAACTATTCGAATTATACAAGACCTTATGATCCAAATACCAAGAGTCAAGCCGCGCAAGAGATCATTGCTAAATCTATCTCTGCGACACATAACATAAAGTCGTCTATGCCAGATCGTGTGGTCGAGAATGTAACCAATCTATCGATCGTTTCTGAATCAGCTTCAAGTAAAATTTCTAATTCAACGATAGTTTCAAAAACTGAAAGTGCAAGACAGATTAGATTTGAAGATGATGAGTCTCCTCGAAGACCATCACACAAATCAAAGACTTCAAGTCATTCAGCGATCGTTCCAATCATTTTGAAGTCAAGTGCTTCTAATCCATCAAAGAATGAAAATCTTAGTCTCTCTTCACCTGATCCAATCAATCCAAGTTCTTCAAATAAAGACAATGATCAAGGTCTTTTGCCCCTTCGATCTAAAAGTACTAGACGACAAACACCTTCGCCAAGAGCTACGATGATTATCACGAACGTCGAATCAGCTGGTGAAGAAGAAGTGGCAAGAAGTGTATCTGATGATCAAGATGATCCAAAAGGATTAGAAGATGAAGACTTGGGAGTAGTAGTCTCTAGACCTCAAGTAGTCTCTAGAACTCAAGCTTGTAAAATCGATTTATCACAACATTTTCCAAGAAGACTTAGAGTTAGAACTGCAAGTTTACCATTATTAAATTCAGCGTCTGCTAATGATTTACAAATTGGATTATTTGATGCAAGTTTATCGGCTAAGATTCCAGAAATCTTAGCATCAAAGGGTGAAAACCAAAATCAAGAAAGGTCTTTTATGTCAGATCCAGGAAAATCAAATGAAAAATCTAAAGAAAGACCTAATTCGATCTCATTGATCACATCAAATGAAACAGAAGAAATCTTACCAATCTTACTTGAATTAGAATCATCAAAGATGGTAAAAGAAGAAGTTGAAAAGATGTATATGAAAGCTATGAATGAATTAGCAGAAGCTAAATTAAAGAATCTTAAATTACAATCAGCCTTGAATGAATTAAACAAAGCACATCAATCTACTCAAACTAAATTACAAGAAGCTGTTTCTAAATTACAAGGACCTCATACGAAAACCTCTTTGAATGAATCGACGACTTCTACTAATCAAGGATCGGTTTCTCAATCTTCTGTTCAAAATGAACATCAATCTAGTACACCAATCAAACAAACCAAATCGGTTTCGGGATCAAAACAAAGTTTACAAAGTACTAATAGTAACATCGAAGCAAATGGGGTGAATGGCATCAATAAAGTACCTAAGAAAAAACCATCAGTTAGATTTGATGAATCACCACCACGTATAGATGATTCAATACCTTCAAATCAATCAATACCTACTTCATCTTCTTCTCTTACTAGACGAGATATTTCTAGAAGAGATACAGTAAAAAGACAAATCTCAGACCCATTTTCAAAAGTTTTAAAGAATAAAGAAATAGCCAAAAGGATTTTAAAGAATCATACGACTGGTACAACTAATTCGTTTGGAAACAAAGAAGAAGAAAGGTTTGAAAATAAAGAGAATACTAAAGAAGGAAAACTTGAAAGTAAAGGGAAATCGAATGTGGTTGGGATTTTAAATGAACAAGAAAATGGAAAACTTGAAAATCATTCTGTAAAGAAGATTGAAAAAGAAAATGATGATGATGATCGTGATGGTGGTGGTGTGGATGGTGGTGGTATTGAAGATTTAAATAATCATTCGGAAGGTGATTCTGATATTGATCCTACAAGATTGATGACTATTCCGATTGGAAAGATTGGATTTGTTGAAGGTGATGAAATTAGATGTAAGTTTTCTTTCCTAAGTTTTGAGGCAGACAGGAGTTTGGATTTTTAGTGTATTGATCTTTGGTTTGACATTCTTCTTTTTTGTAGTATTAGGAGCTGGTCATTGTGTTAATAGTTTGGAGAATTGAGGGAATTCATCAAGTTGAAAAAGTTTTTTTTTTGGTAAAAGCGGGGCGTTTTTTTTATATTTGGTTTCTTATCGTTTTTATCTTGACATTTTTTTCTCTCTCTTGATACAATTTATTTCGGTCAAAGTTTTTTTTTTTTTTTTTTTTTTGCATACTTACACTTCAATTTGTGGACTTGGTTTATATATGTTTTTTTTTGTCAATCTTTTTTCGATAAGCTCATCATTTCTTAATTATCTTGAACTTTCTTTTTTTCTATTTGTTTTCACTTCTTGCAAGTTTGTTTTTTTTTTTCGTTGGATTTTTAGCATTTTATAAAAATGTTGTAGTATAAAACTTTAGTGAGTTTTTTTTTCATGTCTTCTTCTTGATCTTTCTTTTTTTGTCTGGTTTTGGATTTCATTAAATCTGTATAGATTATTTGTTTTTTATTTTGACATATTTTGCATGGTGGTGATGGCATTGGTACATAACATACTATATACATTATAAATCAATCATGGGTGTAGGAAATGGAATTTGTCTTTTGGAGGCAAAGGGTTCTTAGTGAGGAATTGGTAGAAATTGATGAATGAATTGGTGAGTTGGTGTGCTGGTGTGTTGTATTTCGAATCCTCACAATGGGATGCGAAAGAGGTTATAAGCTCAACACTTTGATGGGAATCAATACGTATCGGAAGCAAACAAGACACTTGATAATGTTATGGGCAGCCAGACCTAGGTGAAATTGGATGAGGCATGCTCGTATATAGCATCAAATTTTCGTAGTCTCAGCCAAGTTTTATTCAGGGTTGGGATGAAATCGAATGACTGGATTTGTTGGAAAATCTTGAGGCCGAGCCAATCAACTCGTTTACGAGTCCCAAGGAAATTCTTCTTTGTCGCAGTCGTGACACTCTATAAGATTAGGGGTATTCAAAACTCGTGTTTTGGGTCCCAGAAGTGTCAAGAAGCGACATCCAGAAACTTCTGGGACATCTCCAAGAAGTTTCTGGATGTCGCTTTGATTTTGGAAACTTTGTGCACACCACACACCTGTACTCCTGTATCTCAAGTTTCAAACTTCACCTTCTTATAGCCACAATTCTTTCACATGGCTCATATGCCTGCATCCCGATCCAGTTCAATTTCCAGGTCTCCTTCAGACCCTTCGGTTGCAGGGCAAGGTCCTCCACTTGGAGGGTACTCTTACACCTTTGTCTCGCCTAGTATCAATCCGCATATCTCGCCAGCAATCCACCAGCAATTCTCTCCAACTATCCACCCTCATCTCTCTCCTGCTTTAAATACTCATCACATTTGGCCAACGATGTCATACCATCAATCATTGCAAACGCAAGATTTAGATCCTCAAGGTTCTCAAACTGATCATACTCCAAAAAAGACCCAAAAAAAAGCCGATCCAAAACCGAAGAACAAGAACAATCAGCCATCTTCCCCTGGCCGTTCTCGAGTCCAGTGGCGCACTGACTTCAACAAGGAGGGCAAGAATGCCCTGTTTGTTTTGATCGAATGGCTAACTATGCCTGAAGGTGATGGTTTCCGTTTGGATTGGTGGAGGGGTGAAGGTGGAACGATTAAGAAGGGCAAAGTGGCTGAAGAGATTTCAAAATACCTTGCTGAGAACGGGTTTTCAAATATAAGTTCAACAAAGGTTGAGCAACAGGTTGGTTTGTCGATCTTAGTCTGGATTTTGCTTACAGCTTACATAGAGATCTCGATAACTTTGGTTTCTTAGATTCGAGATCTTGAAAGGAATTTTCGTGTAGCTCGAGACTACAAGAATGGAACTGGTCAAGGTGACAAACAGAAACTGATGGATGATGCGTTGGCTGAAAAGGAGGCACATGGTTACACATCTGATAGTGAGGCTTGGAAAGAACTTGTATCTTTGGTCAAAGAAAAGTTTGAGTGTAAGTTCTCGTATCTTTAAGCAATTGTAGTGAGTTAACTAACGTACGTTTAATTATTAAAGCAAAACTTAAAAAAAAGTGTCTTTACTATGAGGAGATGATCCCTGCCTTTGGACGAAGAAAGGCTAACTCGCCTGATGATGTTCAAGAGTCTAACCAAGAAATCGATCTCGATGATATATTACCAACTCAACGAAACACTGAATCAAATAACCAACTAGATGACCTTAGTAATCAAAACGATCCCGATTTCGATCATATCCTACAAGGCATTGAAAGTCCCCGATTTGAGAATTTAAGTGATGTTGAAGACTTAACAACTAGTGAAAATAAAAATGGTAACGAACCGAGCAACTCTCAAAAAGTGATTGGAAGAGGAAAAGATGGCATGGTGAAGAAAACTCGTCAATCTCAACCTCGGAAAAGCTCTATGATTGATTCAAGTGTTGTAGTTGGAAGTAAATCAAGTCGTGTCAATTCAGGGCCAGCTTCTTCGATGTTAGCTAATCACCTACCTTCCCGAGAGGAGCGCGAAGCCGAGTGGACTTTCAAAAAAAATTACATGTTGGCTGAACAAGATGCTAGAAAGGCGGAGGTGCAGTCTTCTAGCAAACTTACCGATGCAATTACCAAGTCTTTGAACCCGGAAACCGATGAACACACTCGAATGGTTCAGGAACTCAAATTTAAAAGGGAGACATTAGATTTTCATCAAGCAGAAATCGATTTCAAAGAAAAAAACTTAGAAGAGACGAAGACTCTCAAGAGACGTAGAGAAACCCTTGAATTAGATAAAATGGAGCGAGAGATAGAGGGTCAGAAGAAGAAGGAAAAATTAGAAGACATTCAAATGCGAGGACGTCTCTACAAGGAGTATATGGATAATTTTCAAATGACATGGGCAGAAGCGAAAAAAACCGTTGATGAAATGATAGATTCCTAAACTCGAAATCAGGTCTCTTTTGGATACCATCAATTTATCATTGGTGACCAGGTTTTTTTATCTCGAAATACTATAAAGTTGTATTATACAAGTGTTGTTCAACTCATTGACTCAAATTAAAATCTTTAAAGTTGTCTTATGATTTTTGATACATCTGCTTGACTCAAATCAGTATCTTCACCTTTCCGATGCAGATGTGACTACAAATGTTTTTTTAACTTGTCTTTTATTTCTCATGCAATCAAAACAAAGATTCATTTATCTTCATTAACTGGCGCCATTTGACCCTCAAAGTCAGTCTCACGATATCTCATTTTGATCACCAGATCGTTTTGATCAATAAAAAGGATCTTTCGATTTGATTTCATAGATACTCATGTGTACATATCTTTCTAAATAAATTTCTGAATTTGTTTTATATATGTATATAGATAGATACATCTATCTATGATCTTCATTAATGTGTATGATAATTGGGAAACAATTTGACATCGGATGACGATAAGTTTTGAGAGCATGTGAGAATGAAGCCCGATTTAATCTGTATCACATAGAATGCAAGAACTGATTTAGATCAGTTCATCAATGGAAGTCAACTGTTTTAGGAAATAGTCAAACTTACCAACCTATTTATTGTTCTTCCATTAGACGACAATAATTTGCAAAAACCTCTCTCCTTAAAGAGTCATCGTTATCAGCTAGAACAGCATTGGCAACCACAGGGTTTTCTTCAGCGAATTCTCGCTCAGCTTCTCGCTCGAAAGCATTCGGGAGTCCATACGAGAAAGCAGTTTGTTCATTCTCCATCAATAGGAAGTTGTGAAGAAGGCAGCATGCCATTAGAAGGGCATTCACTCGTCTCATTGATCGTTTGTCTCGCAGGATTAATCGGCATTCTTTCAGCATTTTGTAAGGTCGTCTCTCAATCGACCTTCACTGGGTTCGCGGGACTCAAAAGGCCGAAGCCAGACAAAGTAACACCTTTGTTTATATTCCTGAATAGCCTAGATAAAATGAACTATCAATAAGAGAACACTACTAAGAGAGAGAGGAGGAAAGAGTTCCTCCCAAAGGGGAGTCATACCTAGATAAAATGAACTATCAATAAGAGAACACTACTAAGAGAGAGAGGAGGAAAGAGTTCCTCAAGAGAAGAAATCGGAAGGGAGAGAGGATGGAACCTCTATATAAGAACTCCCTGTACAACTTTATGTAACCCTATACCACACATGTAAGTCTAACGCGTAACCCATACTCTTCCCTTACACCCCCCCCAACTAAGACGAAAAAAAACAAAAGATAACCCCCCTAACCTAGTCATTATAAGAAAAGAAATTGAAAGAAAAATTCGAAAGAAAAGAAACTAAATAAAAGAAACTAAATAAAAGAAACTAAATAACCCCTAAACTTCCATCCTAACCAATGACCCGATTTGTGAATTCTAAATATTGTGTTGATTTGATAATTCGAAAGAAAGAAAAAAGAAAAGAAAAGAATAACATCGTTCCACCACTATACTCATACATCCCCAACTTGCTGAGAATGGTCGCCATTCGAGAACTAGACGCCGTGCCGTGTCCTGAAAAGCGCAGATCGAAAAGGATGTGCTCACAGGCGTGGCCAAGGTGTTGTTGCGAAACAAGGAGGAGGTAGAACCCCACGGCGGTGCATACTCAAGGAGAGGACTTACTTGCACAAGGTAACCTCTCGCCCAACTCACATACGTCCACTGACTCATCCGTTCGGTATCTCTTGAGCTTCGAAATATGAAAAATATCGTGTGACTTGTCGTTAGGTGAAAGTTGCAGTCGTACATCTCTTCCGTCGTTGATGACATCCAAGACCTTGTACGGTCCATCGTATCTTGCCCGAAGTTTTGCGACCTTGCCACCTACTTGCACCGCTCGATTTGTGCTCTCAACCAACACCAGATCCCCCTTCTCCAACTGTAAATCACCCCCTCGCCTCTTATTGTACTGAACAGCTTGATCCACACGTGACACCCAGAGTCTATCTCGACACCTAGCCCAATCCGCCTGTCTACTCGCTACCCACCGTTCGACATCATGACCAGCTGCCTCCTTTGTTGACGGAATGGGAAAAAGCCTGGGTTGATGTCCTAACACGAAGTACATAGGAGACACCCCCGTCGCCGAGTTCACCGCTGAATTGATCGCGAATTCCACAGACGGAAGCGCCTCTAACCACCGACCCTGACGTCCTTGAGTCGAAAAACGCAACGTTTGGCCCAAGGTCTTATTAGTACGTTCTGCTCGCCCATCTGCTTGAGGGTGATATGCGGTAGTTAAATTGATCTTGATGCCCAGAAGCCGGTGAAGCTCCTTCCAAAAACGTGAGACCCAGATCTTATCCCTGTCCCCATGCATCTCGTCAGGAGCGCCAAAAATAGACAACCATGAGTTATAAAGTCGTCGGGCTGTCTTTTCCGCAGAATCCTTTTGGTTAGTCGGTATCAATCTGACAAATCCAGTGAGTCGACAAGTACACGAGAGCAACATATCATAACCCGATACCTTGGGAAAAGGACCAACAAAATCCAGAGCTATACTGCTCATCGGTCGTCGAGGAAGATCGGGGCTTTGTGCACGTCCCGGTAGTAAAGTCGTCCTGGCTTTGTTACGTTGACATTCATCACAGCAGCTTACCCACTTTTCCACTTCTTCAGACATACCCGGCCAGAAAAATTCACTCTTCAATCTATTGTAAGTCTTCAGATTTCCTAAATGCCCGACCGCTTGATGAGCTGATAACACCAGTTTACTTCTCAACTCCACATCCAACGGAACAACAACCCTACCATCCATCAACATCAGACCATCTTGCCATTCACAATTCTTTCTCAACGGCAATACCTTGGCTAACTTCTTGCAGAACGGGTCCGATTCGTAACCTTGAGTAATAGACGTCAATGTGTCGGCATCCAAAGTGGGTTTTGATTCGTTTACCGCCGCCGCATCCATTCGAGATATTGCATCCGCGACAGAATTATCGGCTCCTTGCAGATATTTGAAATTTAAATCAAACTGCGAAAGGGTCTCCAACCACCTAGCTTGCCGACGGCTGAGATTTCGTTGCTTTAGTAAATAAGTCAAGGAATGGTGGTCCGTCATCACGTTCACTTTCAACCCGAGAAGCAAAAGACGCCACCTGTTCAATGCATGAATTACCGCCAACAGTTCTTGCTCATGAACTGGATAATTCCGTTCCGCTGATGTCATGGTACGCCCATCATACGCCACCGGTGAAGCCGTCTCCCAGTTTTCACCTTGGAACAACGCCGCACCTAAGCCGTGACCACTGGCATCGGTGAAGAGCCACACTGGCTCATTCGAATCGTAATCCAAGTTCCTCAATACCGGTAATGTTGTAATGATGCGCTTGATATTGTTAAAAGCTACCTCTTCTTTTTCAGCCCATTTGAATTCTTCAGGTTTACGTTTTGAGCTGGTCAGAGGTGTCAATGTGCTTACATAACGAGATAACCCCTCAATAAACTTTTTCATCCATTGCACCGTACCCAAGAATTCCTTCAGTTGTTTTGGATTCTTTGGAGTACGCCAATTAGACACCTTCTCCACTTTCTCCTCATCCGCTCTGATGCCATCCTCCCCGATCACATGCCCAAGAAACTTGATTCGACGTCGAAAAAGTTGAGTTTTCTTGATGCCACAATAAAGCTTGGCTTGTCGAAGTCTTTTCAAAACCTCCCGCAAATGTTCTTCATGTTCCTCCACTGTTTGAGAAAACACCACAATATCATCAATATAAACCACACATACTTTGTTCACTAAATCTCCTAAAGCCTCTTCACATCTTCGTTGTTGAGTTGCCGGTGCATTAGTGAGACCCATAGGCATCACCACCCATTCGTACAATCCCCATGGTGTCTTGATGGCCGTCAAAGGTATGTCCTTCTCCTCCATTCTCGTTTGAAAAAAGGCATTAATTTGATCTAGAGAGGAGTAAATTTTACCAGAAGCAACAAGTCTCACAGCTTCGTCCGGATTGGGTAAAGGTCCTCGGTCCTTGACTGTATATTTGTTCAACGTCCGATAGTCACAGATAAGCCTTGGCAGTGCTGTCGGGTCCTTCTTGGGGATGACCATCGAAGGTGATGCGTACTGGCTCGTCGATCGTCGAAGTCTTCCGGCAGCGATATGTTGATTCAGAAGCTTCTTGTAAGCATCCAGGTATTTTCGAGGGTATCCGTACTGCCTGTCATTAATCTGTACATCGGGATTAGTTAGAATTATCCTGTGACGAATCTTCGAAGACTCCGCCTGCAATTCAGTTGGAAACACTTCTTCATCTTCAGCATCCACATCCTCCTGCAACGCTGGCAGCTCAACTGGAAATAAATCCTCAAATTCTTTCAACATAGCAACTTCCCTCAAACTAAACTCATTCACCTCTTTCACCTTGTCCAGATTTTGCATCACCGTACTCACTAAAGCCTCACGCTTTACTCTCAATTCCTCAGTCGTTCTCATCTCATCAAGTGCATGTTGTTCGAAAAAACGATATCCATTCTTTTCACTACGAAGCAACCGTTGAGACAAAGATACGCTCAGACAATGTTTGGAAAGAAAAGGTGCACCCAATATCACATCATACTCCCCCCCCAAAGGCGCGATTTTGAAAACCGTGGCACCGAAGGTGAAAGCTGGGTGTGGTGCCTTGATGTTAGCAAAGGTATACTCCTTCAAAACGAACGGGGTAGGTTCTGAAAGGATCGCTGGACGCACAGAAACCGGGACCGGCAAAGGTCGCCGAACCAATTGAAGCTTCTCAACCGCTTGTTCCGAGAGGAGGTTCGTCCCTGCACCAGTGTCGATCAATACCCGTAATGAGACGCCATTCAAGAACCAATTCATAATCAGGGTCTTTCCAAAAACAGGTTGAATAGAGGGATTCTCGTACTCAGCAGCTTCCACCAAATCATAATCAGGTTCACCCGTCAATTTGTCCATCAACTGTTCATATGCCGCCAAATCAGCACGTCCTAAGTCTGGAAATTCACCTATCGCCGCTACATCCACTTCATTTGGTACAGTCTCGACTGCTGCCACCTCAACTCGCTTAGCTGGACGAGGGATGCCCGAAGGTGTCGATGTTTTGGTACTGGTAGCCGTCGCCGAAGCCTTCGCCGGTGGATAAGGCGGAGCCCGTGGGAAGTCCATAGGCACCGAGAAGAAGGCCGGATTCGGTTTGGCATCGCAGCCCCCTAACCATTTTCTGCACGGTGTCTTGCAACGAGGACATAGGCCAATCGAACGCATATAAGCGCCAAAACGCACATTACGAGCTTGGGTCTCTTCAGACGATAAGGCGGGACGGTTCGAAGCGGGAGGGTTACCGGAAGTTCCACCTATGAAACGAGATTGCCCAATTGAAGGAGTGCCTGACGATCCACCCGAAATATTACCAGAGGGACGCGACTTCGCTGCATTACTGCTATCAAAGGCTTGCGTGAGGATCCAGATAGCTCCCAATCGCTCCTCGAAGATCGGGAATGAGAACCGTTTGGTCATCGGGTCGAGACTGTTTCTCACCACATGCTCCATTTTCAGCCAAGCTTTGAAAGGACCCGAAGTACCCCCCACGACTGCATTCGCCAAAGCTTCATCACCACACTCATCTACCCCTATCTCTTCTTGTATCACCCTAGCACGAGCGCAGTAAGCGGTCACGGATTCATTTGATTTCATCGTGAGTTCTCGTAACCGCTCCCGAGCCGCTTCATCCCAGCCCACCGGTAAGACTACCCCTTGCATCTCCAACATCACCGCTTCCCAAGATTTACCTTCAAAATTCCTTTCAGATCGTCGACACCATGATGAGGCTGGATCGTTCGCTAAGACAAGTGGGAGTATGCGGAATCGATCTTCGGGTCTGTCAATCTGCTTCACGCGGAAAGTGGTTTCCATCTGATATTGCCACATGCGGAATGCAGCAACGTCGCCGAACTTCCCCTTGTATTGGGGCCAATCAGTAGCACGGAATTTCGACAAGTCGGCCATAACGGGAGCCGCCGTCACTGGAGTTTCTGCGACCGAAGGCAAAGAGGGCGGCACGTTGAAAAGGTTTTGACGAGGCCCTGCAGGGGTGGATGTGAACATTTGAGGAGTTGCCTCCCTATCGATGTCGCGGTGAGGCGGTCTCTGAGTCGAAGCCTCATCTCCAGAGTTGACATGGCGAGTAACGTCATCGTCCGATGGTCGTTGGCTGCGCAAAAAGTTTTGCAGTAAACCCCGAATCTCGCTAATTTCCTTTCGAAGACCGTCGTTATCAGATCGTAACCCGTCGTTGTCGAGTTTCATGCGTGCAAACTCAGCACTGACATCAACCTCAGGAGGTGCAGAGGTCGACGGATGATGTTCCATTTTGTTCTGGATGGTCTGATCTCCCGAACTGATGAAGGAAACGTGAGGATCGAAGTTACCAGGAATACTACGCCGAGGATGGCGAAGTCCGGAAGTAAGGAGGTTGCTGGTGTTTTCGATCGCTACAGAATCGTCTGAGAGTTGATCCAGTGCAATCGAGTCAGATGGCCAGCGGGCTTCAATGATCGGGTAACCGTGAGGATTGGATGGATTCACGATAGAATCCCACTGTTGTACTATCAGCGGCGCTGAACCGGTGGATTCGACCAAAGGTAGAATCGGTGGAGCCGAAGTCGGTCGAATCGGCGTGCAAGATAACGGAGCAGGAGCAGTTCGAGTTGGGAATATGATTCGTTCTGGGTTATCGACTCGGGGAATCGTTTCTCCGGGATTTCGACGAGTTGTATGGGAAGATGTCACACGGTTCTCAGACATAGACAGGGATACAGATGAAACAGGAAGGCGATAGTTCTCAGGAAACGCGGGGTAACAGGATTTAGGTTCAGGAAACGTGGGGTAACTGGATTTAGGTTCAGGTATCAGGCTAAAACAGGAAAGAAAAAAGAAAAAAAACTGAATTCGAGTGTTCGAAAAATTTTTGAAATGAATTGAATTAAGAATTTATTGAATCGGGATGATTTAACCGTAGTTGATTGAATTCGGATTGAGTTCGAGGATTGATCGGTGTTCTTCGAACTCGGAGGTGTACTTAAAAAAAGTGTAAGGTCGTCTCTCAATCGACCTTCACTGGGTTCGCGGGACTCAAAAGGCCGAAGCCAGACAAAGTAACACCTTTGTTTATATTCCTGAATAGCCTAGATAAAATGAACTATCAATAAGAGAACACTACTAAGAGAGAGAGGAGGAAAGAGTTCCTCCCAAAGGGGAGTCATACCTAGATAAAATGAACTATCAATAAGAGAACACTACTAAGAGAGAGAGGAGGAAAGAGTTCCTCAAGAGAAGAAATCGGAAGGGAGAGAGGATGGAACCTCTATATAAGAACTCCCTGTACAACTTTATGTAACCCTATACCACACATGTAAGTCTAACGCGTAACCCATACTCTTCCCTTACACATTTGAAATCTAGATTTGAGCATTCCGTTGACGTGTTCTATGACCGTGCGTGCCTCACTGAGTAACTTGTTGAACTGATTCTTGAGACCAGGAAGATTGCATTCGGAGTTTCGCTTGAAAAGAGGGACTGTGCACTTTGAGGCGCTATAACCTGAATCCGCCACAAGATACTCACCCTCAGTGAAGTATTGACCAGGATGACACCACAACTACCAAAATTATCAGCTAACGAGTTTAAAAGACATATAAATTTCAAACTTACTGAGGAAGTCCTGAGGACTCGTTGGTCATGAACGCTCCCACACCAACCATGGCGAGCAAAAGTGATTTGACGACGGTGATCGCAGACAATCATGGAGTTGAGTCCGTAAAAGTACTTACGGGTCCAATAATCTTCCTTGCAAGTAACCGGACCAAAGGCTAAAGGGATAAGAGTCCCATCAATAAACCCAACACAACGCTCCAATCCTGGGTGTTTCTCAGCAATCTTGTTGCTGATATTTGCACGTTCTAGCTGGGATGGCCAGCTCAAGTATTCAGCTTGTAATTGAAGAATCGCCGCTACACATCGCCACGTATAGTTTTCAACGCTACCATCTATCATCAAAGCAAGAGATGTTATTCAGAGACAAAATAGTTCAATGTTACAAACGCACTCACCTGAAACACCTAGTAAATTACCAATCAGTGAAACTTGTCCACCATTTCCTGACAACCCCATATTTGCTAGAGCAACCATTAGTTGCAATTCAATCCGAGCTTGAGGATTACTGGAAGTGTTTCTGAACACATGACTATTTTCAATCTTATGAAAAAGGGTGATGAAGTTCTCCTTTTTCATTCGTGCCTAATCAAATCATCAAAGCAGGCATTAAAAGAACTAGATGTTAAAAGAGAATTTCCGAAGATTGGAAGTAGAGAAAAGAAAAAGTTACCACTTTGATGAACATGAATTCGGGAGCATTCATCATGTTATTGAAAAGCTCTTGTGAGCGATCTCGATCTCGGAGAGTCCTCAAAGCCAGGTATCGACGATTCTCGAAAGTCTCCATTTCCGCCAACCAAACTTCAACATCCGCCTTTTTGGAATTAAGATCCTCGCCGTGTCGACTGAACCTTTTTTTTAGCATGAGACCTAACGTTAAGCGGTGGATTGGTTTAAGGGGAAGTTCGGATAATAGATCTGGGATGAGGAGTAGAGTGGATAATGAGTTCAAGGATCTTGAGGCAATAAATGCAGAAGGAACGAGGTGATTATCGTCTTTGGGGTAAGCTAGGAGGTGGCGTGATACTGCTTTCACAGCTTGTAGTACTTGTCGTCGTGCTGAGACTCGTGGCATGTTGGTGAGGTAGATAGAGTCTTAAGAATCTGGATCTCAGAGCCCTCGAGGTGCTCTCAATATCCCCAGAAGTGTCAGAAGCGACATCCAGAACTTCTTGGAGATGTCCAAGTCCGGCTATTTCAAAAAATTTGGTTGTTTTTTTTTTTTTTTTCTTTT